ATCCATCAAAGTGACCTGATAATTATAAAATTCGATTTTCTCGTGATCCCAAATTAAGATTAAATGGCAAGTTATTTTGTTACAGATGAAACTAAGAAAACAATACAAATCATCGACTCTTCATTTTCAGCTCAATCAATTGACCTCTCAGTTTATTTGAAGCTTCCGAAAATATGTCTCTATGTGTTATGATAAACTATAAAAATTAAATCATTTTTAACATACTTCTCTTTCGCTTATTCTACCACCACTCACAGTTTTTCGAAGCATTGATGTTGATAATTCAAATATGTCGAATAAATATCCATCACGGAAACTTGATGCCGTCTTCCGCTGCTTCGTGATGGTTTCAAAACCCACGGCCTAAAAATGTTAAAGTGTGCATATAAAAAAATTACTTTTTACCATAATAAATATTTAAAAGATTATGTTATGGCATTTTACTAAATTTGCACTAAACATTAAAACCCCTAATAATATTCAGTTATCAAACGCACAGTAATACGATAGCAAAGGTACGATCACATGGAAGCAACTACATTACATGATCTCTAGAAAAAACTTCAAAAACTCCATTCTAGTCGCTTCACATATAAGGAAAGATTAATTAGACTTTGCAGTTAAATGAAAAGAAAAAAAATTTAATGTTGAGAAATGGAGTCGTAAAAATCCAAAAAAAAAAAAATCCCTATAAAATTTACAAAAAAAAAAAAAAAAAAATGATTACTTATTACTTGTAGGAAACTCTTCAGGAGAGAAACAGTTTCCTAAGCCCCTTTACCCGCACTTAAAATCATGTAACTTAGGTTTTAAGAAAAAATTTATAATCACTGAATATACTTTTAGCTGTGTGAAAAAACCTGTTCTTAAGGACTCTGTTAGAATATAAATTAAAATGCTGATAAATGGATTGTAGTGTCTTGTAATATACCTCAAAATGCAGTAATAGATGCATTAAGTAGTATATATGCTTATAAGGAACTTAGTATATATAAAATGCTATCTACTTTTTGAATTACCGCAATATTTAGTATAGAATAAAAGTCCTCAAAAAGGTCATTAAAAAATCATAACATTTTTTATGAAAAATATCTTAGATAAAAATAAAGAGTGCACAAAGGTCTTTTCATCATAGTCCCTTTTGTCTTTCATAATCCTTTCAAAAGTTCCACATCATAGTCCGTTTCAAAAGATCAGATATAGACACATCACCAAAAGTCGTAATTAGAAAATTCCGATGTTTTATGTCTTTCGGCTCTTCTCATTATCATATAATTTAAAATTATATCGTTCATAAAGTCAAAAATATTAGTTAAAAGCAAAATTTCTTGAAACAATTTGCGATGAAACGTCATGAAAACTCACGGAATTGACATCTGATACTAATACTGCCAACAACTGCACCGCTAGTGGGCCTTTATCTGAATTCTTCTGAAAGAACAGATCTAACATTATTTTTAAAAAAAGACATACAAATAAGAATTAAACAGCTTTATTAACGCGTACTGTACTTCCAATAGTTGCAGTATTCATTTCCTTCTCAATTAAAAGCACTCAGATTTTCTCTAACAGAGAGAAATAGGAAAATTAAAATCCTTTAATTATTATATGATAAAAAATGAGATTATGTTTACTTCTGCAAGTTTAATAATTGTAGAAACTGGTTCACGGAATGGAAAAGTTTGACTGTCCATATCATAATCATGCCATCCAAGCTTTGTTATTCTGGCAAATAGCTGATACAGCGAAGAAAGTACAAATGGTGGCAATGCTGCGGATCGCTCATCCAAATAATGAAGCAGGTAAGTATCTAAAATTATAAATCACTGTGAAATAACTAACATTAGAAGTGTAAAGCATTTTCTTTAGTTTGAAAAAAGGTTAAATTACAACATTCGTCGATCATCTGTAAAAAATCCAGCTTGAATCTAGTTGAAGTTCTATTCATAAAATTTTATAAAAGACTTTCTTCGCTTTTTATTTTGTTTTGATTGGTCATATATTCATTGCCGCTCTTCGAAAACATTGATAACCTTAGATTACAGTATCTTGATACAATAAAATCTTGAAATCATCTAATTGAAAACTTACTTAATTCTAATCGTTGCTGCAAAGACACGCCAATTTTTGAACTAAGTAATTTCATCAGTGTATTGCTGGCAACCATATGAGCGAATGGTGCCTGAAATAACAGACTTAAAATCTAAAAACCTTGTGGAAATTTATAACAGAAAAGTAAAACTAAGAAAGAAATAAATGACACACTAATACAGTGATACGATACATAAAATTACAGTCTTTATTCACATGTAAATAGAATAACTCACTACAAAAAAAGGTTTACTCAAAGTCGTAGAATTTGATAGTAAAAAAAAAAAAAAAACTCGAGATATCGGAGAAAGACTGACAGTTATACTTTCAAATAATTTTGTTACAATTCTGCCTCATTAATTTACTTTAAAATTGAAATAAAATAACATACAGTTCCGCTTTGAAGGAGTAACATACATCGTCTCAAGCAATCAGGCGATGACGTCAGTTCAGCTAAATTTTGTTCTGCTTGAAGTCTTCTCGTACCGTCAATGCTTTCATATAATACTTTACATAAATTGTCAAGTGCCTATAAATATCTATTTTGATCAATTAAATTAATATTTCATCTTGAAAAATGAATAGAACCTTCATTTTCTTAAAAGTATTTCATTTTTTTTTCCTTAAAAATATTTAAACATAAACAATTTATAAGCAGTAAACTGAATTCATCAGTTTTACGAAATTTAATAAGCAACAAAGATACCCGTATTTCAGTGTCCATCGTGCCGTGTCGTGGCAAATCTATTCCTGACACTTTCCTGATGTATGACCTTTGTGAAAACCGTTGGATGAAGATTGTAAAATACTACCTAGTAAGAGGAAAATCGATAAACCTTGAAACTAATTCATAAGAAATCCATTACAAATCACTATTCAGGCAAACTTTTAAACCTTAAAGTACAGTCTACGATTCCTTTGTTGTTCTTACACTAGGATTTGTAACATTTTCCTATTTTATATAATCCGATCAATTTCACCTAAATTTCAACAATAACAATCTTTGCCTCCTACATCTATATCTATGACCATCTTTTCTTGTCCTACTAATATTCAAGTTTATGGCACTTTTTTGTTTTATTTGAATCTGCGATCTTTTTTGTTCCACTTATACTTAGATCTTACGTCATCCCATTTTAAGATAACAGCAACTTATGACTACTTTAATTGCATTGTATGCAAGTAACCCAAATTTCACACTTATAACCTGAACTCTGAATTTAATAATCACAAGTCTGAATTTAAAAGAACTTTAAAATGGTCAAGAATTCATGGTGACTTTACAATTTTAAAGTAGAAAAATGCAAAACGCTTAGAAAATCCGGGTATAACTAAACAGTGCAACAACATAAACATTTTTAGAAATAAATCTCCCAAAAAAGAGAAAGCTATTTTCTCTTTCTCTGGGAGTTATATCAACACCATCAATAGTTCCTCACATGTGCGATCGATGCTGTCTGTTTACGTTTTATCAGTTTACACTTTACTTATCCTTGATGTAGAACACAACTGTATTCTGATTATTGCATGAATGAATGAATGAATTAAAGTTTGTAACTGACAATTTATGCGTAAAAAAAGAAATGAAATCATTGGATAAATAAGAATTAACATATTTTTAGCTAAATATAGAAGAAAAAATATTAATGGAAACTTACTGCAGCCTTAAGATTACCCAGTCCCTTCCAATTCAATCTGACCCAATCTGACCCAACTCAACCCAACCTGACCCAACCTTAACCATCTTAACATCATTGCTTTCAATGTAAGCTGAAATTCGAACAAAACCAAACAAACCATTCTGCTCAGATGAGACGCGCTGTGAAATATACTTATATCTTTAGAGATTAGAAATAGCATATTAATTGTCATCTTTGAAAAAGTAAAATCAACTTTGATCAATTAGACAAATTACACTTTTACCTTCTATCTTTAATTTTTAACTACAGTGATAATAGTTATACCGTAATCATCAAAATAACACTTGTACAAAAATGTTTTTAAGTTATTGTTAACATTATCATAATCCTAATAGTCTAAAATGATAGATAGCTCTTATCAAATATATGTTAATAAGGAAAAAATTTTCTTTATATGCAGCAATCATCGATCATCCATGATCTCATATCATACCGTATCCTTTACATCTTCCTACGGTACTGTAATTGTACAGTATTATGAGTACAGTACACTGTATCTAATTATTCCTTACATAAAATCATAAGTTTCAAGACTTTTTTTATTCGTCTTTTCCATTTTTTTATTGCATTCTAATTATTTTTCATATAACACTCCTCGCATTATTTTAATTACTTATCAGTAATATTATTAGTGGTTAACATTGTTAGAGTTGTTAGTGTTAATATTATCAGTTAGTGATTAATATTATTAGCATCGTTAAGTATCAATTAATTTTAATCAATCATTTCTTGAGTGATTAAAAATCATTTCCCATTATTGACACTAAAATCATATCCCACAATATTATAAATTCAATCATAAAATTTTCATTTTAATATATTTTCTTATATTTTTCTTCTTATAATGTGATTTCTACCAGCAAATAAAAATTAGATAAAGTATGTTATTATATGAAATCATAATTATCATTTTTATAATTATTCATTGAGAAACGGTAGAATGCTTTTTTTGTTAAGAATAAATGATAGTTAATTATGAGTTCATTTTGTTTATCGTTATTCATAAAATTGGAATAAATTAATAATTTTTAAATTAGATATAAATAATGGGTAAACTTTCACTGATATAGTTATTATCAGCAAGTGATAACGATGATAAATATAAGTATTCGATTTATTTCTGATTATTCCTACATTTTTTCTCGAATTTCATTAATTAGACTGATTAAATCGATGATTCGACCTATTCCGGATATGTATATACATATTTCAGTTATTATTATCATCTGTTAATAGCACTGGTATATCTCTAGCATATATATTTTCTGGTGGATTTGTTTCCTGTATATTCGTCTGTAATTTTTTGTATTAAAACATTTGCATATTTCAATCAATAAATGAGACAAAAATTAGAATAAATAAATTGAAATGAATTAATAGATAAAGATATATAATTAACTATTAGCTAATTATAAAAATTAAATATACAAACAATTAGTTAATTAAGCAAATAATAAGTAACGATAGATCAATTAATTTCTTACTTTCATTAAATTAGCTTAAAGCATTAATTCTATATATGTTCAAATTCTAAAAGAAAAAAAAAGTGAAAACTAACAAATCGTCCCATACTAACAACAAAATATCGTCCAACTTCTGATTTACTAACAATCATATAAAGGAATGGTGTATTAAAAATGATATCAGCTTGCATATCTGAGAGATAATTCAATCTTTTTTTTTTTTTTTCTTCCACATTTTATTTAATAATTTAAAAATATTTACTTAATATGAAAATTTTTGCAAAAAAAAATTGCATTAAAAGTTTTGTAATGCAAATCAATTGATTAAATAATCGAATTATTTTGTTTGCCAAAATGAGAATTTAAAAGAGCTACATTTTATCATAAGTTTACAAGAAATTTTGATGCCACCTAATAATGTACTGTATGTATGACCTTTGACCTTGTTATTCTCTGATTTTACTGTAAAGTATGAATTAATATGAGGTATCTCATCTCGCTCTACCATAATGGTATCTATTTTATTAGCAAGTGCTATTTCAGGTCCTTTTGCAAGACGATAAATTGCTTGTTTTTCTGTAAAAAAAAAATTCAATAATAAAAAAAAATGAATTTTAAGTTGTTTAAAAAATAATCGAAAAAAAAAATCAGATGACTGTGTTAAATTTAATGATTGAAATTATTGAAACAATTGATTCGGTCATAATTACCGGAAGTTTTAAATGAAATTTTAAGAAATTATACTTTGTAAACTTGTCTCTTTCAATTTTCCAATTGCTTTTTCATTTGATGTCTTTTCAATATTTTCCTATAAATCAGAATACAAATTGCAAAATCACTTATCATCAAAGAATTTGAATTTTATCACAAATTAATGTTTGGAAAATAATATACTAGGATTCGAGAATTTTCAAATATTTAGTGATTATTTAAAAAGTGAAAAAGAGATAAGAAGACATCAGTAAATTGGATATTGTTATCATGGTTGAAGTACTTCTATAATATTGAAACATTTTAAGAAAACAAAATTAACCGAAAAATGAAATAAGTAAAAAATGAATTTTCAAGAAACAAATAAATACCATAAAAGTGCCTATAAGAAAAATTTCATTCCTAGGCTAATATAATTCAAAAAATTTTAGTTGGATGCAATTTATCACTGTTGTTATCATTATCACTATAGTCTCTTAGTTCTATAATATTTGTTTTTATGCTTTATTGGGTTAAATATAATTATAAAAAAGATATGTGAAAAAAATTTTGTACATATTATTATATGAATTCAAACAATTCTAAATCCAAAAATTTTTAAAATCAGAAAATTTACTTTTAAAATTTGCTTATTGATTTCTGCGCCCGCTGCGAAACGTTGCTAAAATATAATTTATTTTCTTCATTAAATAAATAAAAAAAAGTTCCCTTTTCTTGCAAATTCCTTCTTTTTCTTTCATCTTTTCCCCATTTTTCATACTTATATTTGACTAACTTTTATTGAGTATTTGATTATTCTTTATTGATCTTTTATTAGATTAATTGATCTATCATTGCTGTTAACTCTTTCTTTTATCTTTGCTTTATTGTAATCGATTTTCACATAAAACAAAAAATATTGGCTAAAATATAATCGATAAAGCTCATTTGTTATTGATAATTAATCTAAACTGAAGCCTGAGCTAATTAATTACTTTAACTATTATTTATGTTTATATTATCATATTCCTTCATTATACTGATAACACTCACCGAATAATGGGAAGATATTGATGACTGCGTTCTGTTACTCTTATCATTATCATGATATTTTATAGATGATTGCGTTCTGCTGCTCTTGTCATTATCATTATCATAATATTTTATAGATGATTGCGTTCTGCTACTCTTATCACTACTATTATTACTATATTTGTTATCATCTCTCTTATCATCGTGTTGTGTTTCTTCATCTCTTTTAGAAACTTGTTGATGAGTACCACCATTTGATTTACATGTTGATGATTTAGTTGAACTTTCACTAAAGAGTTAATTATTCGATAATAGATTACTTTGAAGAATCAAAAAAATACGATAGCAGGAAATATAAGTTGTTTGGAAAATAATCGCTATCAATTGATAATTATTAGAATTATTTCAGTATTGCTGATAAGACGAAAAAAAAGGATAAAGTGAAGTAATGTGAGTAAGTATATATTTGTAAAGAACAAATTTGTATCTTCCAATCAATATATAATTGAATAAATTTGAAAATTCATTAAATTACTACTTCTTAATTAATTAACACAAAATTTCCATTTTAACTCTTTAATATACCTTTTTGAGCTTTTTTGCTGTGGCAATTCTTTTTTTCGAACAATATCGTGTTGAATTCTTAATTGTTTTTTTCCACTTTTCAATAATTGTTGTAATTGCTTGTTAGAGTGAGAAATTCTATTATCAATAAAATTCCATTTGTTTTTTTTTACCGCATCTTTTGTATCAACTGCGCCTAATCTATATTATTGAAAGAAAATTTTGATTTATAAACATTTAAATGATTGTTCAAGTATATCATGTATCATTATACTGTAAAAATTTCAATATCTTTTCTTTTGTTAAAATTTTCAATATAATTTAGATGATATGATGCAATTAATCACTTAATTCTATGTCATTACGGATTGTCCCATTGCTTTCAGGATTAAACAAAAAGCAGAAACATCGATGTCATCGTTTCCGGAATGTAAATATATGTAAATAAATTAATAATACTTGTTTAAACTTCTTGTTCTATTTCTCTTCAACCTTTTTGATTTAGCAAATGAATTGAGAATTCGTCGCTTGTCATCACGATTGTCATCATTTTCATTCTATAAACTAATTTCTTTCATTCGTCAATTTCTGATTAAATTCTGTTGGATGAAGTGAAAGTGAAGTAATTTCAATAGTCTCATTAAAACTGTGCATTGGAAGAGAAAATGAGAGATCAATATCAAGAAATCAATATCGAGAAATCAATATCGAGAAATCGATATCACTATTGAATAAATGAGCGAATTATCGTGATACAATAAAATGTGACACAATAAAAGAATGAAACAAACTTCGAGAATTCCGATCAGATAATGTTTTCGATCAATTCCAACCTGACCTTCGATGATCATCATTCTTCCGGTTACAGCTATTATTTGCTGATATTTTTTCTCGCTCATTTCATCTTTCATTGCTACAACCGAAAAAAAAATATACATTATAAAATGATTTTGTATTCCAAATGTAAATATATTAACATTCCGTACTAAATACTTTATTGGAACAGGAAAAAAATCAATATATACCATAGTCTTAATAATCTGATCAATATTTTATTAAAAAAAGAAAATCGAAATTATTTTTAAGAAAAAGCAATCACTTCGTTGACTAAAAGTTACAACCCGCATTTCATCATCAATTCCTTTCTTTGATTCCGGTTGTCCGATTTTCAACTAAAAAATAAATTACGATTATACTAAATTTGACTTTCAATAATTTTAGTAATATTTCGTGATAAGATTAATTAAAAATATTATAATCTGCATAATCGTCATAATCAAATTGAATCAATGATAGGAAAAGCAATGACGAAAAAATTAGCTTATTTGAGCTGAAAAATAACAATCATACAACTTTTACCATTTTTATTAGCCGTACAAATTATTTGGAAATTTTTCAGTTTAAAGTTAAATTACAATACTTCAACATACAGCCATTTTAGTTTTATGATAATAGTCCCAAAGTGGATATATATGACATGGACCAAAATTTTCCCTCGAAGCTTTCCCATAGATCATTCCGAATTCAGCCTTATCCGGTGAGAATATTCGAGCGATACACGGATACGGAAATTGTGGATGCTTATTCTTGAAAATGAAATGATAGATTGGCTTACATAATGCAAATACCGATCGTAATCCAACAGGTGAATTTATTGAAAAACGTGGAATTATAATCTGAAACCAAATATCTTTTATTTAATTTAAATTTGAAATAAATTAAATAAAAATTTGAAGTTTGAAGTATCAGCAATGAAGTTATTAATTTGAAATGCATTTTGATTAAAGTGTGAATGCCTTACCCTTTAGTAAGAATTTTATATCATTTTTTGATAACAAATTATCAGTAATTACAACAATTAAAATTAGATTGAATTATTTTAAAAGTTAAATAACAACAGTGCAATGTATTAACTAACCGATTGTCTTATTGGTTGTGAACCTATTTGAGTGATATAATGTCGTAGTTGTTTACCATTTAATAATTTTAGGAAATCTTTTGAAAAGAATATTCTTGGTTGAAAAAGATACCTAAAATTAGTAAACATATTTCAAATAAAAAATTTTCTAAGCAAATTTATTTATAAAAAAAACTCAAAATTGTTTACATTTTGCTAGTTTTATTTTCAAAACAACATTACATTTTAAGACCATCAATTTCGGAATCTAATTCCAGGACACGTATATTATCTCTGGTAAGACATGTACGAAATAAACCATCACATCGATATGCTTTTATCTAAAATATTGAATTTTATTTTTTAGCATTTTAGAAGAATAAATATGAGGAAAGTATTCAATAACGCTTAAACTTACTACGCTACGTGTATCCACATTTTTCTCGTACGTTTCATAAAAAAATGTCTCCACTTCTGTTATTTGACCAGGTGGTTTCCAGTAGAACATTGAATTAAATGATGTTATCAATGCTAAACGTGCTTTTTGTTTTGGTTGTAAATCTCGACGTACCACATGTTCCATAGTTCCTTGGGTTGTTTCCTATATAATAATTTAAAAAAAAGAAGAACAAAGTATATAATTCCTTCTTATAATTCATAACATTTAACATAGGAGAGAAAATGATAAATGATATGATAATATTATCAAAATTAATTACTTTAATATTTTTGTTCATTTCATTTACAAGTGTTTGTCCAATCGGATCCATTTGAAAACACAATGTTTGTACCACTTCCTTTTTCATTTTCTCTTCCGGTTCAAATACTATCATTTCTGCTTCTTGAGACTGTAAAAGGAATGAAAGAATTAAATGAAAAATAGAAATCAAAGAACGGAAAAAAAAAAGGAAAAAACGGATCGAGAATGATAAGCTAACCTCTGTACCATAATATTTTTCAATATATTCCATTAATTCATTATCAAATTTTAGTAAATGATTTTCCTCAAAATATATGTGTGTTACTCCTTTTGAGAATAATCTCAAATAATTGATACAAATATCATTCAATTCTTCATGGATAGTTTTTCCGAGTGGTTCAATTACACCGAAGAGAGCTATAATAAATAATTTTTTTTTTTTTTTTTACAAAATTTAATAATATTTTTCAATATCAATTAAAATATTATAGCACTTTTTTTTTTTGGGGAAGAGAAATAATCTTTCAATTTAGTGATATTTTAATTTCTGTTAATTTAAATGCTGCAGAATTGATTAAATTCACTGTTTTTCCATTCTTATAATTTTATTGGATGTTCCATTATTCTATGTAACATTTATTTACAAATGATTATTTATATTTGAATTGGTTATTTTGATTTCAAATATTAGTTTTATACCTTTTGAAATCAATTTTGAAAGTTTAATTTTGCATTTACCATCAGCTAATATAAGCAAAGCTGCAAATCCACGAATAATTTGTAATGGTGAAATGGCAATGTTCCATTCTTCATTTGTAATGCGTAAATTTTCCTAAAATTTAAGATAGACAGTAGATTTAAATAAATTATAAAATTGTATATAAGCTAAATTTGAGATATTAACAGCTTGATTTATCTGTTATAAAATTTTATAAGCATAAAAAATTGTATAAAATTATTGATTCATTGTAGTGAATTAGTTAAAAACATGTCAGTTCTGTATTTAAGCTTTTTCATCAAAGCATTTAAGATAATTCATCCGATGTCAACTCTATATTTAAGGTAATTTTATCCGGATAATTTCAACCGGTCACAATGAATTTTTCCAGTTCATACTGACAATAACTTACTAAATAATTTGATGAAAAATTTTCGAAAAAATGCTAATAACAAAAATTAAAAAAAAAAAAAAAAAACGAAAAAAAAGAAAGCTTTTGCAGCTAACGAAATAATTATTATTAGCATAAATAATTTTTTCTTTTTTTTTTTGGATAATGCAAAATTAACATCAAAAAAGTTTACTTACTGAAGTCATCTTTTCTATTTCTCTAATGCATAATCTATATCACGTACGTACGTATAAACGTATATTCTTTGAAATTAAAAATTGAAAAATAATATGCAAATGCAAAAAACAATTTTCAAATAATACAAACTATTTCAATAGTTGGTAAATGCGCCAAATTAAGACGTTTTGATGGAATTTTATTCAATAATTTAATGCCAAAATCGATTAATGGTGAATATTCCCATTCATCTATGATAATTTCATTTCAATGTTTCATTCAAATTTCATTTGAAATTGATAAATTCAGGTTAATAAGTCCTTTATACTAATTTTATGACATATTTCTCAACAACAATTTTTCTTAAATTTATCTTAACTTCTTCAGATTAATTAAATTTTATCATTTACTTTAATCAAAAGGAAAAAAAAAACACAAGATCTCTTATCTAATGATAATTGATTAATAACTATTTGCAAACAAATGATTTTTTAAATCAATAAAATAAGTTTTAAAAAGTAATTTCATTGAAATATTGCTAAAACATAAAATAGAAGTAAATTTCGTACTTTTTCTCCTTTTTTTAAAAGAAATCAAAAAAAAAAAAACAGACTATTTTTAGGATGAACCGATGATATAACCATAATGATAAAATTATTAATTGAAATAAAAGCAACCGATTTCGATTACACAGAAGAATGATTAAAGAGAAATTTGCTTAGTTATTTATAAAATTGTTATTGAAAAAAAAAAAAAAAAATGCTAATTTTTTTAAAATGTACAAAACATTTTTTTGTTTCTTTGCTATTTAAAATGATAACAAAAGGACAATGAACGAATCATTGAGATGCATAAATGTTAGTGATAATTAGTCATTGAATATATTCAAGGTAGATTCAAGGTAGACAGAAATATGAACTAATTTCTTTTCAAAAATCATTTCAACTTAGTCATGAAATTTATTTAAAATAATTTTAATTTGCTGGTAAATGTTTTGCAATGAATCACTTTATCAGTTTATCTTATCACACATTTCACCATTGTACATCATTTTATTGATTTCATTACAATAATTACTGCTAATACTACTATCATTACATAAGTAATTTAACTTTTGCTGCACTGCAGGATGACACATCTTTCGAAGCATTAAATTTAGCTTTTTCAATTTTTGGAAATGCTGGCCGAAAAATCTGAAATAATTTGGCGGAAACATGAAGGTTATTTGCCTTTTTTATAATTTTTATGCTAACCTTATTAGAAGCACTCATAATTTCATAAAATCAATTTCATAATTAAAAAAAAAAATTGAAATTGAAAATTTGTCACTTCATTATCAATTTTATTAACGCATACTAATGAATAACTTAATTAACATTAAGTACTTAATTTAATAATTATGAACAAACTTTAAATGAGCATTGCATTTGCTCATCAACTAACATTACAGCAGCGGCATTGTCAAATAGACCACAATAATGAGGCGCCGAAAAAATTGTCACTAATTTACGATTAGCAAAAAATTCATAACCATCTTGAACAACCTAAAATTAAAATATTGAAATGAAATTATTATTTTCTCTTTTTTTTTTTTAATTCTATGATTAATTATTTTTAAATTTATTATCATTCTTTTTTGTAATAAAATCAAAAAATTATCGTTTCAAATTGAATCAACAGTTCTGGAACATGATACAAATTAATGATACAGATTAATTAATTAATCGATTATTATTTTTTCATAATAAAATTAAATTTATATACGTATATGGAACTATATGAAGTTTCTATTTTCTCTTTCATTTTTTTTTTTTTATTTTATTTCCAATATAATTTAGATATGTGATAGTTTTACTTGATGTGCGCGACAGATCAAATCTAAGTTAAATTTTTCACATATTCTTTTGACCATTTTAGCACCAAATGTAATCGATATGCCACGATCGTTGAATTTAAATTCATCAGTGTATGAATTTGGATCAGCCCATAATAAATCTAATGGAAGCGATGGATTTGGTGGATCCTATAGTTAACAAAAAAAAAAGAAAGTTTTTGTAATTACTACTATACAGTATATCAATCACATTAAAATGAAATTTAAAAAAATTAAAATTTATTATTTAATTAAAAATATTCAGTAATTTATTCAAAAATTGTTTGTCGCATTTTAGGATTATATTTGGATGAATGGAATGAAAATTTTTAAATTCCGTGAATTTATTTAAAAGTTGAATATTTACAACAAAGTAATCAATTCATTATCAATTGATAAACAAGTTGATTTTATCTGTTATCTGAAAGTTGATATCATTAGCTAATCGTGACCACCTTGAAGCATCCAATCAAGAAAAATTATCGATAATAAAAACAAAAAGGATAAAATTTATAGAAGTTAAAGCAGATGATAAATTGCATGAAAAGCATATTCTAAATAATTGGATCTATTCTGGAAGTAACTAATAAATTAGATTTACAGGTAATGGCCGATAGATCGATTGGAGAATGTTAAGATTATCAGCCTTAAGCATATCAGGTGATAAGCCGCCATGCATACAAAGTATTCGATCACCAATGATTGCACTTAATGGCATAACATTGAAAACACTCTGTAAATTTAAGCAAAATATCACTATTCAGTATTGTTTTCCAAAAAAAATTTTACAAAAATCGGAACCGGAAATCCCGAAACATTTACTGTTTACTTTACAAACCGTAATTAGGTAAAGATGAAGTAAAATAATCTGATATGTGCAAAAAATTTCACAAATTTAGATTGTTATTAAATTCTTTGAATTTCGTTTATTCCAATAAGTATAATTCATAAGACTCTGTGGTTTCTTTTTTTTTTTTTGAAATATTTTATAATTTGGATGGCATTTTTCTTTTTTCATTTTATCTTTCTATGAAACTTTGAGACTTTCGAACTTTTTTAAATCTTAAGAAAATTTCATATTTTTTTGAGCTCTTTTTTTTTGCTAAGTAATAAAATTTGTCACAAAAAAATTTATTCTTGCTTTCGTTCTTTTTTTTTTTTATTTCTTCATAAATATGCAAAAAAAAAAAAAAAAAAAAAAAAAGAAATTATTTTCCTTTTTTCTTGTACTTTTCCCTAAATTTTCTAAAATAACCAGAAAAATATTCGAAATGGAAATTAAAATTAGAACTTGAAATAGCATATAGAGCGGCAGTGATTGATATCGTCGCATTATTTCATCGTAAAAGCCATAAATTCGATTTACCAATTGTGTTTCATGATTACCACGAAGTAAAAAAAAATTTTTCGGATATCGTAACTGCAAGAAAAGCAAATTTCTGATCTTTTCATGCAAACGTATGAAAAAAAATTTTGATATTAATTTGTAAATTGATAAGAAATATCAATCAATTTTAATGAAAAGGAAATTTTAAATATCTTTTATTATAATAGCTAATTGAAATTTTAATTAAGAAAATTTAATTAAGTTCAAATAAATGTAACATACGAAGAGAATAGAGAAATGACGTACGTCATATTAGAATTTCAAATCATTTGATAGGTTTTTCTTAAATTGAAATAATATAAACTCCTATTTTTCAATGTTCACCTCTTATCATTTATGATGTGATATGATATGATAGATTTAGAGAAAAGCATTCAAAATTATTGATTAGCATTACCTTGCATGCAAATAGGAAAATGATTACTTCGAGATTCATTTTACCACGATCGACATAATCTCCAAGAAAAAGATAATTTGTTTTATGTGGAAAACCTGTCTAAAAATTATACAATATTTACTTTTGTATTTTCTTATTAGTATGCATTTTTTTCATTTTACTTCCATAATTTCAATTTCAGAATTAAGCAATAATAAATAATTATCGAAACAAACTAAATGAAATATTTTTTTTTTTTTACTTTACTGAAAATACGTATCAAATCGCCGAATTGTCCATGAATATCGCCGCAAACGGTTATAGGCGGTTTTAATTTTAACATCACCGGTTGTTCCATAAATAATGATTTTACATTCAGTAATAAATCAGTGATATCCTAAACAGTAAAATGATTAAATGCAACATTTTTTCTTTAGCTAATGAAATCATTCACAATTTATAATAAATTTAACTTTTTAAATTTTAAGGTTTTACGAAGTAGAAACAGAAAACACTATTTAACACTTTTTATATTTATTAATAAACAAACTTAAGCATGAGACCTTTCAAATTATTAATTAGAAAGAAAGAATCAAACTTGTTCAGTGATACAAGTGCTAATTCCTGTATTAGGTCTTCCAATTGTCATCATATGAGCAAAGATATAATCAAGGTCAACAGGTGGCACTTCAATGACATTTGCTGTTGATGGTGATTTTGATACTGTAAGCATATCAATTTGAATAAGTGTAAATTATCACTGAATAAATTATTAACGCATTTATGGGTGGAATATATTCTTCACCAAATAGTAATTCAATTGAAAGTTAATTTAAATTACATCAAATATATATAAAAACTACTTCGCACAATTTACTATAATTATTTTTGTAAGCTCTTTTTGACAATGGAAACTTGAAATGCTTAATAATTTAAATGAAATAAAAAAATAACTCTGCCCTTTTCTGTATAGAAATTTTATTTTTCCGAAAAAAAAATGCATTAGCAGTTAAAAACATTTTATTATCAATTAATTAATAATAAATAATTTTGATAAGAATAAAATATTTTTCGGATGAATTTCTGCAACAAATTCATTCACCGTCAGATAATAAATAAAAAAAGTTTCACAGCAAAATATTGTGCACATTTTTAAAAAATTTAAAATTTAATTTAGGTGTTACTGGTAGATAAAGCACTATCATTGGATGTTGTTGTTGTCATTTTTGGCATTCAATAAACTACAAATAAACTAGTCAATAAATTATTTGTAAAAATTATCTTTTAAATTCAATTGTATTTTCACATTTAAAAATTTGCATTTTTTAAAAAATGCAAAAAAAAATTAAAAATTTTAATATTACGCAGAAAACGAGAACTATTATTTTAATTTTTAGAATGCTTCAATTAATTCTTTCCTATTTAGTAAATAGTTTTGTTTTAAATTAAAAGATTTTGTTAAATATTGCATATTATTTCAATTGTATTGAATTGTTAAATTTTTATGCTTACCGCCAAGATATTTCACTTTTGTATGGGACAAATCAATTGATCTGCCAAATGCGCATTTTCATGTTTATTGGAAAGAAACTTCTTGACTAATCTACCAAATTGATTCGTTCGTTCTTGTCTCTTTTTTTTTTCTTTTAAATAATATTTTGCAATTTTTTATTCAACATTTTTATATTTTTCCGTTTGCTTATTTGCTCCATTTATGCTTAATGCGCCATCATTGTTGTTTGGTGGGGAAAAATTAATAAATCAATCAATAATTCAATTTTTCACTTGTATTTTTTACAGAAATATATAAATGCTAATATCAAATATGAATGTGTTATATCAATTCTTCTTTGCTATTTCAATTTTTTTTAATCAAATAGCAATTTCTGGTTAGTTTATTGTAAATAATTCTTTTTAGCATATAAAATTACCTTATTATTGTTTTCCGTGTAGTATCAGACAAAGGCAATTAAACGATTAACAAACGTGAAAATGATTGATATACGTGAAGCATTAATAAAGTGTAACGTGAATGCTAGCATACTATTTTCAGTTTAGGAACATTTAAATGATATTATGCAAATTTATAAAAGTCAATGATGCTATGCGAAGCTATCAAAAGAATTTATATATTTTGGCGTGGAATGAAACTTAAATATTTTTAAAATATTTGTCAAAATTTTCTCAGCAATTTCACAAATATTTCTTTAACAGTTTGTTGTCAGATTAAGTTTGCCAAAATGTTTAAAAAAAAATTGAAGTTTTACGTGAAAATTGTTATATTCACACGTGTTTACGAATTGTTTCAGATATGAAAGGATTACGTTTGGATGACATTTCCTCCCAGCGTGAACAATCAAACACATTGACAACAATAGCTGAGCAATCAAAAGATTTGCTAAATCAACAAATGGAACAATTGAAGCGCACTTTGAACAATACTACATCAGCGCCGAAATCTATAATGTCACAAATTGCACGCTGCTTACGTAAATTATTGAAATTTAATTTTTGCTTATTTTAATGAAAAATTTCCAAAATTTGTTAAAAAAAATATTTATTTGTGGAAATTTTTAGGCTGCACAAAACCATTCCTTCTAGCAATTCGAGCAGCATTGGTATCAGGAAATCATTTCGAGAGATTTGTTAACGTTTGCAAGTACGCTTTCTTCTAGCGTTTTTCAATTGTTTCACGTAGCATTTAATGTAACATGACGTTATTCATCTTTTTTTTTTCACACTTACATTTTTCTCTTTTCTATCAAATTTGATCTTAACGTACTGCAAATGTGAGCAAATGTTATATTGTAGCAGATTACGTGGAGTGTTACAGTGTACCAGTCACGTACCCGGAAAATGTTCAAAAGAAAAAGGAATTGAATCCTTACTAAACAGTTTCCGATATTTTTGCATAGATCAATTTTTAGGTAATTTAAACTGTTAACTTTTTGTAATATATTTTATTTCATAATGATAATATTGATACCACTTATTTGATTACTGATATATTAAATTCTAATTCATTTCATTTCCTATTATACTAAGTTAGCATTCGCATTATAGCCTATAAATATATTTTCGAATGCTTGGATCTTCATTCAGCAGCAGTTTTACGTGGTAAGTTTACTATTATTAACACAACTTGCGTGTATTTAAATCTAAAATTAATTGATAATTTGATTTTAATTTTTTTCCCTCTTATTCTATTATTATTTCTTAGTATAATTAGAATTTATAATATGTAAAATTTACAGAATGTCAACAGAGATGTCAAGCAACTCGTCAAGTACTTGGATGGTTCCTATACAGTTACATTCATTCCACTTTACCGTTTTCAGTGCCGGAATCTGATGTACCAGCCAAAATAAATGTGAAATATTTTAATAAAATAAGCAGCGATGCTTGTAGGTAAATATTTTATTTTTTTTTCTTGCAACTTTTTTTTTCGAAATTAATTACGAGAAAGTAACTGTTTTTAAAAGTACCGGAATCTGGAGAGTCGGCTAAAATATATAAAATTGGACAAACCGATAAATCAAGAAATTAGCTAATGAAGTTTACTGAATAAACAAATTTGACCAATTTTAAACAATTAATTTTATCATTGTATCGAGATTGTTTTATTTATTTAAAAATCAGAGACTAGGAAAACGGAATACTGATTGAATAATTTTCTGAAAATATTTTCCTGAAAGCAATTTTTTTTAGCGCATTGTCATGTTATATGCAATGCTTACGGGAGAAATACAATAGACGATGTAGCGATATTGGTGGTAATATGCTTTTGGTAAGAATTTAAAAATTATGCAATAAATGTTTATCTAAGCAATTCTTGAATAATTATTATTGCACAGGTATGAAATGATTGAGGATATATTACAGATTAATGATTTGCTATGATTTTTTCTTTCAGTTTACACTAATATATCATCTTAGTTCGACTTTTTTTTTTCAAAAATAATTTACCCATTTTTAAAATAATGCATAAATACGTGAGAGTAATACTTCTTATAGGTTTTCATTTAGGTATGTTTATTTACAGGAAGTATTATTCAGGCCATTGGTATCGTTGCACAAATCTTGGGCATATAGTCCGATAGCTACATCAATGATGCTAATTATGCCACAAACATGTAACTTTCTTACAAATTTAAATCAATTAAACAATTACAGGTGATTTATTTTATTTGTCTGTTAAAGATGTCAAAGAATAAATATATGAAGTTTAGAAATTACAAATGCTTGAAATTGCTGTTAATGTTGTTCATATTTAAGATTAGATGGAAAGACATATGCCAAAATTAATAATGCATTTCCGAAAAGTGCTATAAATCAATATGCCAATCATTTGCAAGTATAATTTTTAAATTTTCCTGTTTTTTAAAATCATTTTTTTTTAAAAAAAATTATGCTAAATACAATATTTGTTTTTTTCACTGATAAGTTTTTCTAAATTTTTCTAATAAATTTTTGGAAAAAGTAATAATTTTCAAGGGTTCTAATTCGTCTGCTACTTTATGGATGCCACTTTTGAAAAATATACCATCACCGCTGGATCATACAGAATTTTCGAGTAATCCAATAAAAGTTTCAAGTAAGCAAATATTTTAAATCATTTTAATCATTCTAAGATAGTAGCAAAAATTGATATATTAATCATTATAGCACCAACAATACATATTGAAGAAATTGAGGAAGCAATTGAAGAACTAAAAGCCATCGATAAATTGCAACAATTAAAATTATAATCTCACTTTTTACTTTTATTCATTCTTTTTCAACTTTTTGTTATATTTATTTTTAGAAAGTTTGATGTCATTCTATTTTTTTTTTTTTTTAGTTTTTTCATTTTAATAGTAAAGTATTTTGTAATTAACTTTATTTTAAACAATGAAGTTATCTGTCTTTTTTATTTTGAGAACTAGAAGAATCCAATACTTTATTATTTCTTGTTTATGGTTTTAGAATTTTATTACTTCTTTTCCTACTTGTATAAATAAGGACAGTGAGGCGAATAAAAAGAAATCTCTTCGATACCCAAAGCATCAATAATAATTGTCACCAATAAGGTGACGATATTCAGAATTTGCTTCTGTCAAGATTGCATTTGATTACGAATGACCTTATTCCGATACTCACAAATTTAAATTAACAACAAATTTTTTTAACATAAAAATCTTTAATCTAAATCAGTGAAACAAGTTAACAATCACTTAACTTAATTACCTTAATTACTAGGTATCATATCATGTCGTTTATTTTCTTTTTTTAATTAATAATCATTTTGCCCAGGATGGCGAAAAAAGAAAAATCAATAGTGCTATTTTAAAACACTATGAATATTAGTCATTAATTTTTGTAAAAATTTCATCATTTAATGAAAAATGGCTAATAATGCATTATAAGCAAGAAAGGTTTGCATAAAGTAATCATTCCATCAATATTTTTAAAATTTTACATTTCAGTTTATTAATCTCTAAAAGAGTAATGCAAGCCATTAAATAGCATTGCTTTTTGCAAGAAATTATAATTTCTGCCCGCATTTTATTTTTTTTTCCACTTTTACTATTTCAATACTAAAATTTTGAAAGTAATATTAAAGTCGAGAATTTATACCTCCTTAATTTTTTATTAATAACAGAAAGGTATGAAATTAAATGAATTTTTTTAATGATAAAGTTAGCATTATAACACAATTTTAAATGAGGGTTTAATTTTTAATAATCTAGCCATTTTAATATCATGGTAGAAAGTGAACAAAAAACAGAAAGTGATGCAATGCAAATAAAATTGTTAATTAAGTTCAAAGGAAAAAATATACTTTTTAATGAATTGCAACTTTAAAACATAACAAAATTAAAATCTTTTTCCTTATTTAAATTACAGGAGCTAGAACAAAACAGAAGGCAAGTGTTATTAATAATACAGTTGGGCTGATTAAATAAATGTAACTGATAGAATCACAGCTCGGGTAAATACTTCCCCTCACAACATATCGAGTAGTCTTATCTCTTTCAATTACGTTACAATAATACTTTTCAAGTGAGCAGATAGGACGCACTTATCCTAAAGAAGTTCGAAATGCAAATTCTTAATTTTCTTACAAGTTGGACAATCATTTCCTCTTTTAATATGTCAAGTACCGCCCTTATTTTGCTTTCAGCAAGAGAACGGGTAACGCGCATTTATCCTTCGAAACTTTTGATAATTTCAAAGAGTACTCCAAGTATGCGGAGTATGTAATAATTACTACTATGTGTGCATATCTTTATATTACCGTTTGAGAGAGGCAAATTTGGTATTAGCTCCTTCCTCTACAAGCTCGGCAAACACTTTCTCTCGTAATGTGTCAAACACTTCCACACCTTTTTCTCCCATATCTTTTAGCTATGTTACAATTACTACCTATTTTCCATATTTAAAAAAGATTATACAAATTCGATATATGGATCCATATTCAAATTTGTAATTAAAATTAATTTCAATGTCAAAAATTAATTGAAATCATCACTAATTTTAACCTCGTTAATTTATGCATTAAAATATTGCTCCAAAGTGAAATTTAAAAAAAATTTTTTTTCTGCATAAATTGTCAAATGTCCACCACAGAATGTGGGCAGTTCATGTGCAAATAAAATAATCAATTAGGTTAAAAATATATTTATTTTTAAATGAATTAGCAGTTCCTAACATTGTTGGCGTTTAATTAGAGCATAATTTAGAAAAATTAAAATTTATTTCCTTATTAAATTTGCTAAAACTATTTGAAATTGCCAAATTTTCATAAAGTTCCATATATAAATTTATAATTAAAATTAATTTTGAAGTCAAAAACGAATTGAGAAATTGAAACTATACTGCAAAAAAGAGGCAGATAAATGGGAATCGACTTATCCACTACCAAAATCGCTATTACAGACATTCCCAATGAAACCAACTGTTTGTTTTCCCCCTATAGCTATATCCCGATAACAAGATTCGTAATATGTTATAAATTTGTAACCTATATTACTAATCTCTATGTGGCCATTTCCTTACATATAAAAAAGTGTAACGGATTCCCCACAACTTTCACATATCGCTGGTTTAGTGGTGAAAGGTGCTCGACAGTTCTTAATCAATCCATGAGCCCGCCAAATCCGCCACACAAAAGCCAAAACGTACGTGACAAAGATGCACACTAGTGCATAATAATTTGCAGTTGCCAGAAGATTATGGGAGACAGATAGGCATGGACAACACTGATCAATTTCTTGGCGATTATGGAAAGCTATTTTTATGATTTGCAGTAGAACTTGCAACTGATCAATATGAAGTGAAGTCTAAGCGACATCTGTAGTGAATAAAGTTAGCCATGAAGATGGTATCTTCATTGATTACAAACAAACAAAGTGATAGATGGACTGCCTGTAAAAGTAACATTTTTTTCATAACAAGAAGTTAGCAGACCACTTTTAAATTTCCACGTAAAATTGAAATGATTGTCTCAATTGTTTGCAGATGCTTTTTAACCTGTCATTGACCTATTATCATGTATTTATCTCATAATCACTTTATCATTTGGTATCATTAAAGTTTCCTCATTGATATATATGCCCATTTCTTAGAAAATAGCTAAAGTGCACTGTTCATCAATTTCATCCGATGATTACCATTTGAAATTTTCTATATTTTCCAGAAAATATTATTTTGTAAATCATTATTTGAAATTCATTATCAATGAACTTCTTAGTTCTAGAAGTCTTGGAAAAATGAAGGAAACTAACAAGAACAATAAAAATGAGACTCCCTTGCAATGATTTTTGTGTTATTTCTTCCAAACTGCAAGAAACATCTCGTAATAAGCACATGTAAATCTAAAAATTATACTAGTTTAAAATAATTTTATTTTCGTATAGCCTGATTAACTTTTCTATTGCATAGAAATATATTACTGGTTTATACAAAACGTTTTCTACTCCTGTCGTCATAGTATTTCATTTTTGAAAGAACCCAGTCGTTAGCTACTTGAACGATCGACTTGGTAGTGGTCGAAGCTAAATATGAGGAAAAAGGAATAAACGGAAATGTAATGGAATGAATAAACCAGTAAAATCATTTTCAAAAATCAAACATTTTTAAGCGATGACATCTTTCATGGCATTATCGCTGCCGAATAATAAGCAAATTATCTAATCTATATCAATACCGAGCTTTGCATTTCCTTTTTGGTTCATTTAGAGATCCAAGATAATTTTGAGGTAATGGAATAATTTCTGAAGCCTGATTTGAACAGTTCTTACCTTCCAACAAATCTGTTAACTTTAATGATATTTCTCTCTGTGTAAGTTGTTTACCTCTTTGCATTTAACTGACTCCATCAAAAAGTATGCTAATCTGCAAGTTTTAAGTAAAAAAAAGAGAAAAAGGAATATTCGACTACCAAGTTCGTAAGTTAGTAGTGTCTTAAAAAACAAAATTATTTCCACCGTATGATTCTAATTGCAACTGAGTTTCTCAATTTCATAAATTTCCAGCATATTGGAAATCATAAGGGATCTTCCTGATGGCAGATTCTGCATAAAAATACTTATAATCAACCCTATACTATGCAACAAACAATGAATAAATAAAAGCAAATAATGTATAAGTGAGATGCAGCCAAGAATGTAAATGATATGAATCTGATGTTGTAAAAGCAAATTTAGAATTTCTTTCTTACTGCTCTGTTTCCTTGTGAAACAAAATAGCTTCCTTTCTTGATCGTTGACTTCTTGGTCCTCGATACTGGTAGAATCTCGAATCTGTACTGGTTCCGTTCTGTGTACGTGTACTGTGGGAGTCTTCGTGAAACATTTTATTATTCAAACCTCAAACTTGGGTAATTAAACCTTAGATTAACAATAAATATTATACAACATTACAATAATGAATTGATACGTAACATACAAATGTAACTTAATTACAAAACATTTAAAGATACAAGAAAGCTAGACATCTCGCAACCGAGCCATACCAAACAAGGAACTATAATCAGTGGCTTTGTAAGGAAGAAAATTGGGAGGGATTTTTGGGTGTTAAGGTTACGAAGTGGATGAAAATCATTTAAAACAATAGCCTTTGTTCATTAGGTTATAGCTTCGCCATTGTGGTGACATCCCGACTCGAGAAGTAGTAAACAAAATGACCGAACTTGTTATCAGTCTGCTCCTAGCTCTTTGGTATCTTTTTCCTTCCGCCGAATCGAGGACAGATGGATAATTTTTCTTCATCTTCGTCATCTTCTAGTTTGATATTTGGGTCCACGACTTGGTACTGTTTGTTTTGACTGATGCTTAGGGGTAGAGGTGGTTCAGTGGTCTTTCCCAAATGTGTCCATTGGACATTTTAAGTTGTGCCCTCGGATATTACCGGCTTGTGCTATTAACTTGGTGATGCGCGTCAGAGGCTTTTAACGATCCGTCTTTCATTCTCTTTCTTTTATTAAATGAATATCAACATAGAGTGTAATAAAAATTCACTTTGCTTATTTCTGGATATATTTTTCAATTATACTAATGATTTTATGCATGATAGTTCCCTATATTATAATCAATCTATGTTACTTGTTCGAATGACGAACTATTCGTTACCAATGAAAATTCGAAATTTCCCTGAACTTAAAAATCATATAAAAATTAAACTTAGAAATCATAAAAAAGTATCTATAGATAATTTTTTTTTTAAAAAAAGAAAATGAAATTTTTGGAAAATCATTTTTTTTTTTCAAAAAAAAACTTTAGTGAATTAAAGTAAACATAATAGATTAATAGTTTTTGTTTTCTTCCAGACAAAAAAAAAAGGAGACAAAAGAAACGCCCAATAAAAGAAGATTTTTATTTCGGATACTAATGCAACAAGTAATTTTACTCAGGAACTAATGCAGCAGATCTTTTTACTTCGGGAATTAATGCATGTGAAACGGTTTTAACATCAACTGGATGAAATAACTCCCACAAAAAAAATAATATGATAATAACAATCATTGTTTAATCCTTTATACTGAATTGTTTCATTTAAGCTGATATATTGCATTGTTGAAAATAATTTATGCAAAGCATTTGTGACAATGTTTGCAATTTTATTTCATTTTGTTTCAATTTTTCCACATTTTCCAATCTTTGGGAATATTAATGAGAGGGCAAAACTACATCGCTGCATCTCTTAATATTGATTTATAAGTGCTAAATGATTTCAACAAATTTTTGTAATCTTTGGCTTCGACTTCATTTTCAAATTTGCTATGTATGCATGCAAATTAAGCTTATTAAATTTCTTTGCATCATGTAATGTGTGAAAGTAGTTGTGAAATGAGTACTAATTGATATTTCTGATACTTATCAACCTTTCAAATTTCAACCATAGTAAAATTAAAAAAGAAAAAAACGGTGGTCTTTTTTCCTAAAGTTCTAAGTCAATCATTAATTCGATGTAGCCTGTCAGTGCTACTCATTAAATATTAGTATTTTAATTGGAATTAGAATTAGCGGTTGAACCCCAGTAACAAATCGATAGATCAATTGGCTGATTGGAACAATAAAAAGCAAATGAGGAGGATGTTTGGTCTGATACAAATTCACCTGTTCACGATGAATCGGAGTGTAGCATTAGATTAATTAATGAAGCGCTTGGGAAGTTTGTGTGCAGTGCATAGCTAATCTATCTGATCGTAAATGATTTAACGAAATTAAAATTCGTCATTTTATTGATTAGTAGATTTGTAACAGTGAAATTCAAGTTAATTCAATATAAACAGATTTGAAGTATGAGGAAAAAAAGTAGCGCAAAAGCAGAAAAAACCGCAAAATTAGCCTTCGAGGTATAAATAATAGCAAATTTTATTTTTCTTCTTGTTCATTCTCATTTTGCTAGTAAATTATGAGAAAGCAAAAATGAGAAATTTTCATGTAGAATAATATATTGATATAAATTTGATATGCATACAGTTCAAATCAGACTTCAAAAATTATTCCATTACCTCAAAATTATCTCGGATCTCTAAATGGACCAAAAAGGAAAGACAATAGCTCGGTATTGATATAGATTAGATAATTTGCTTATTATTCGGCAGCGATAATGCCATGAAAGATGGTGGACGTTGGAAATGTTATCGCTTGAAAATGTTTGATTTTCGAAAATGATTTTACTGGTTACCGTGGTGTAGCGAGAAAGAAGTGAGATTGTCTCCCAATTTCAGGAGAGCATTTCACACATTTAATTTTAATGGTTTAATAAAAGCATTTTCAGAAGAAGTTGAAGATAAAAAGTTGAAGCGTTTTCATTGATTACAAGGGTTACAATTATTATATTTCTTATTATAGCTTAGTCTTCAAATCACTTTTCATTTATAATCTCTTTTTATTTTCCATTTAATTCAAGTTTATCAACTAACTTCATTTTGCAATTTACATTATATAATACTACCATAAAAGAAATAAAGCTTTTGCTAAAATGAAAAAATCTATAATAACATTAGTTAATACCCCTTTTGTATTCTTTGTTGAATCATTTACAATATTATCACTTTGTTTATTTTCTCGATGAATTACGGCTGCAGTTTTCTTCCATGTATCTTCACATATTAGATTAATAGATAACAGATTAGCGAAAACCGGATCAACTACTAATAAGAATAAACACAAAACTTTTTAATAACAAGATAATTAGTGAATGATATTCCGTTCACCAACAGTTTCTTTTTTTTTCATAGAGATAAAGATAATTCACACCAAAATGACCACGGTCTTTTTTTAGTTTCATTATGGTTGAAATTTGAAAGATTAATAAGTGTTAGAAATCATCAATTGATACTCATTTGACAGCTACCTTCATCACATTATATGTTGCAAAATATTTTAATAAGCTTAATTTATACATGTACATAGCAAATTTGACAAAACAAATTTGAAAATGAAGTCCAAACCAAAGATTAGAAAGATTTGCTGAAATCATTGAAAATGTAAAAAAATTGAAGCAGAATGGAATAAAATTGTGCAAAAAATATCACAACTGCTTTGCATAAATTATTTGCAACAATGCGATATAGCAACTGAAATGGAATTATTTAGTGTATAGGATTAAATAGTGACTGCCATTATCATATCACTGTACGCATTTTTTATATCCTATTGTTATTACTATACCTGTGTTATTATACGTGGACATAGGTTATCAATCTACGTACTTTGCCACTCCCATCTGAATAAGCATTTATACATACAATTCTCCAACAATACCTAAACAGAAGTAATCAGGTAGCCCAGTCAAACTCTCCTACAAATTTCATTCAGTAAGTTCTGTTTCACTTATTTCGATAGTTACCACTTTTCAAACTTTTGAATTATGATAGGGATTTTGGATTCGATGATAAATTTTTAATTAATCTAATATATTTAGAAAAGCATTTACTTGAAGAAATTTCTCCTTTTCGCATTTTTCAGAATTGGCAAGAAGTTATTCATTGACATGCATTTCATCTATTTTTTTTTCTTCTTAAAACTGAGCAATATTCAAACCATCGTAAGTCCATTTAAAGTTTAAAAATACAATGTAGCGCTGCGATTTAAAATTCTACACGGTATCAGATTGATAATTTCATATCATTTGAGGTAGCGCAAACGGATCAAACAGAACCGTTGGATTTATCAATATCAAAAGTGAAAGTGAAGGGGGATGGATTACAAGGCTTATCAATGGAAAGAAAGGGTGAAGAAGAAATTGGATTGCAAGTGTTGCAAACAAAGCTCTTGGATTTATCGGCTCCAAAAGCAAAAAAGGAAGGAAATAGGGCACAAAGTTTATCAGTGGAGGGAGTGAGTGATGAACGAATAAAACCACTGTTACGGCTCGTTCCAATCGAAACAGTAGTGAAACTATCAAGGCAAGAAGGAAGGGCGAGAACGAAGAAGCGTTGTGATATATGTCGAAAGGAAGTATCAAACATGAAAGAACATATGATGACTCATACAGGTGAGAAGCCGTACAGCTGTTCAATATGCAGAAAGAATTTCGCTCAGTTGTGGAATTTAAAAAGACATATGATGACTCATACCGGTGAGAAGCCGTACAGTTGTTCAATATGCAAAAAGAATTTCACTAACACCGCTAGTATGAAGCAGCACATGATAACTCATACCGGTGAGAAGCCGTACAGTTGTTCAATATGCAAGAAGAATTTCGCTCAGTCCGGGGATATGAAAAAACATATGATGACTCATACCGGCGAAAAGCCGTACAGTTGCCCGACATGCAAAAAAAATTTCACTGACTCCAGTAATATGAAAAAACATATGATGACTCATACCCGTGAGAAGCCGTACAGTTGTTCATTATGCAAAATGAATTTTACTCAGTTCAGTAATCTGAAAGAACATATGATGTTTCATGCCGATGAGAAGCCGTACAGTTGTTCAATATGCAAAAAGAATTTCACTCAGCTCGGGGATATGAAAAAACATATGATGATTCATACCGGTGAAAAGCCGTACAGTTGTCCAACATGCAGGAAAAGTTTCACACATAAACACCATTTGCAGTCTCACATGGGAACTCATGACGTGAATAGACCAGTCTATCACTGTACTGTATGCAGTAAAGATTTTCAGACTAAAGCCGGCTTGAAATTTCACATGCAGAATCATTAAACCTTACGCACTTTAAAGAAAAGAAATGCGCTTTGCTATTTCTGTTATTGTTAATTACTTATATTTTCTATTGGTCAAATTCTAGTTACATATTCCTTTTTTTGTTGACAAGTTATTGTTGGTTTCTTTGAAGCAATGTGTTGCAATACCTTTCTTTGCTTTGATTATGCTTGGAATTTAACGAGTTAATGAGTATTGGAAGTTATCAATTGATATTCATTTGACAGCTATTTTCATCACATGGTGTTATATATGATGACTGTAAGATTTTTACATTTTACACAGATAACACAACTAATTTAAAAATTATTCTAAAAATCAAGTCCAAACGAAATATTTGATGAAGCATTTAACATTTAAAAATCATTATTATCAATTATAGGAGCAGTGTAGTTTCCTCCTCTCGTTAATATTCCTAAATATTTGAAAATGTGAAAAAATTGAAGCGAAATGAAATAAAATTGCAAAAAATGTCACAATTGCTTTGCATAAATTATTTTCAATAACACAATACAGCAGCTGAAAAGAAACTATTCAGTATAAAGGACTAAACATTAACCACTGTTATCATTTTATTTTACACTACAGTATAATCTATTATTATTATGCATAGTTACTATGCATATTTTATTATAAGTTGACGCAAAAACAATACACGTAGTTTGCCACTCCCATCTGAATGAGCATTTATACAAACGATTCTCTAACAATAGCTAAGCGAACGTAATCGGGTAGTCTCTGTCAAACTCTCCTACAAATTTCATTCAGTATATTTTGTTCCATTTATTTCGATTGAAGATGTTACCACTTTTCAAACTTTTTAGTTATGATAAGGATTTTGGGATTCGATTATAAATTTATAAATAATCTAATATATTTGGAATAGCATTTACTTGATGAAATTTCTCCTTTGCGTAGTCAAATGAGTACCAATTGATATTTCTAACAATTATCAACCTTTCAAATTTAAACCAACATGTTTCCTTATATAACTCTTCAAGTGTTTCATCCATTCGAAGCATTTATTAGTTGCCAACCAATTATTCGGTCATTTCACAATAGAAATATCAGAGCTTATTTCTATTTAGCATCATTAAAAGTTACGCTTTACCTTTTATTTTAAATTAAATACGCATTGCTATTCCTGTTATTATTGATTATTTATATTTTTCATCAGCAAATTCTTCTGTCATTTGTCTTTATTTGTTAAATAATTCTCTCTCACTATTATTGTTGTTATAGTTGCGTTAATCTTGGTCATATAAATTTTTATCATTTTTCATGTCATTTTTCTTGTTAAGATCAATCAAAATCTCCTTAAAATAGCGCCCAACGTGCATGATATAATTGGCAAACTTTAATAATATAGTAGCATCACTTTAACTCAGTTTACATACAGTACATTCTTTCTGAAAAATGAACTAATCAAGTATCATCTCACAGATCTTGTATAAACGAAGCGTCTCGCTTGCTTTATTTCACTATAAAAAACATTCAGAAAATTAAGTAACCATACATAAAACAAGTACAAAATGAGAAAGAAAACAAACAATGAAAGTAATATAACGGGCGTTCATGTGAACACACGCTTGAAATCATGGCAGAAATAACAAAAGATACAAATAAATAGTAAATATAGCAGCCATCATACTTTTTTACTCATGTGAAGGAATTTTATGAACAAAAGTCTGTGTTCATAATTTTGCAGTGAATTAAACCCAGCCATGATATTGCTAATTTACTTAGCAATTATACATTAATGAACTTAATTAGTGACATAGGCTTAGGAAAAAAATATGTAATCAATAAGAGTAACAGAATTTTCTTATAGAAGAACAACAAACAATTCAAGCCAAAATTTAAATATTTACACTTACATCCAGACTAGCAACTTCTCCCAAAATAATTAAATTTACAAATCTTCTACGACAAATTTGATGCCACAAGCCAGGAAAAGGAATATAATTACAATAGCCTTTACTATTATTGATGGCTTGGAAATAAATTGAAAAGGTGTGATTCATGAAGGAAACAGTTACATGGTAAACTGCTTTATTAGCATGAGGCTCTATACTGCTGTAGCTTCGTCCTGAATAACATCATATTGTAGGCGATATGTATTTGAAATTTATAAAAGTTTGCTTTCTTTACAGGTGCATGAAATTCAGTTCTTTCTAGTTCAAGATGCTTCAAACATTTATATTTTCTGAAAGGTCCATTCTAGTGTTTAATTAACATGCAAAAATGTTTTCAGTTTTCAGTCTTCTTATATAGCAAGCAATATGCGTAAAAAAGTATATGATTTACAATAAGAAAGAGTAACCAGTCTAACAAAAAGCTTGATTAGACAGTAACAAAAAAAAAAAAAAAAAAAAAAAAAAAACTGATTAGTTTACAAGCAAATTTAATTACTAGTTGACAAACCGCAAAGGATATTATTAAGCAAAGGTTGTTAACTTCGTAGATTCAAGGATAATTCACAATTAGTGGCGACACAATAATGAGATCAACTAAATGAGCAGATACTGTGTAAACAATATGTAAAAGATTTAAGACTAAACATAGGGTTGAAAACAAAAAGAGTTATAAGCTTTATTTGCAAGATTTCATAGAACATATTACTTACTCATATAATATTTTAGAGTCTCACGATATTAAAATTACTATGAACACTTCCCTACGGGAAAGTGCCTAGTAATTTTACCAAGAATCAGGAGAATTCAACTTCAGTTCTTCTCTATCAAGTTACTGTGCTAACTGCTTCTGCTAATAAAGGAATTATTATATTTTTTTGTTACCCCAAACATTTAAATCCAACAAATCTCTTCGAGATCAGCAGCCTCTCTCAAAATAATTGAATTTATAAATCTTCCACGACAGCCAACTGTTATTGGACGGAACCAACGTTGTTCCTAACTGGTAGGACTTTACCGCCTTTTTTTTAGTTTTATTATGCTTGGAATTTGAAGGGTTAATGAATATTAGAAATCATCAAATGTAATCATTTGATTTGAAGCTATCGTCATCACATGGTGTTATATACGATGACTGTAAAAATTTTTAATATGCTTAATTTACACAGATGACACAAAGCAAATTTGAAAATAAACTTTAAAAATGAAATCCAAACGAAATATTTGATGAAAAATTTAACATTCATAAATCAATATTATCAATTACAAGAGTTGCAGCAACGTAGTTTTCCCTCTCGTTAATATTCCCAAAGACTGGAAAATGTGGAAAAATTGAAACAAAAGGAAATAATATTGCAAAAAATGTCACAATTGCTATACATAAATTATTTTCAACAGTATAATATAGCAACTGAAATGAAATTATTCAGTGTAAAGGATCAAACACTGATTGCTATTATCATATCATTATACGTAATATTTTATATTCTATTATTATTATCCCCATATTGTTTATTACACGCGGACGTAAGTTATTAATAATATACGTAGTTTGCCACCTCCATCTGAATGAGCATTTATACATGCGATTATTTAACAATATCTAACAGAAGTAACAGAAGGCCTCTGTCAAACTCTCTTCCACAAATTTCTTTCATTTATTTTGTTCTCTTTTCAGAGCTCTGATTAGAATTTTGGGACTCGATGATAATCTAGAAAAGCATTTATTTGGGCAAATTTTTCCTTCGGCATTTGTCAATGAGCAATTGCCTAGTAAATTTGAATGTTTTCAGAATTGGCAACAAATTATTCTCGTTGGCAGTTGGCATGCATTTCATCTATTTCTTCTTCTTCTTTTTGCAACTGAACAATATTCAAACAACCGTAAGCCCATTTAAAGTTTAAAAAATAGAACATAGCGTTGCGATACCATGGAGATTTAAATTTTTACCCGGTATGAGATTGATAATTGCATATCATTTGAGGTAGCGCAAACGGATCAAACAGAACCATTGGATTTATCAATATCAAAAGTGAAAGAGAAAGGCAATGCATTACAAGGCTTATCAATGGAAAGAAAGTGTGAAGAAGAAATTGGACTGCAATTGCTTCAAACAAAAACATTGTATTCAACCGCTTCAAAAGTCAGTGATGAACGAATTCCAATCGAAACAGTCATGAAAGTAATGGAAATGTCAAAGCAGGAAAGTAGAACGAAAAAGAAGCAACGCCACGATGTACACCAAAAGCAAGAACATACGATGACTCATACCGATGAGAAGCCGTACAGTTGTCCGACATGCAAAAAGAACTTTACTCAGTTCAGTAATATGAAAAAACATATGATGACTCATACCGGTGAGAAGCCGTGCAGTTGTCCAATGTGCAAAAAGAATTTTACTCAGTTCAGTAATATGAAAAAACATATGATGACTCATACCGGTGAGAAAGCGTACAGTTGTTCAATATGCAAAAAGAATTTCACTCAGTTCAGTAATATGAAAAAACATATGATGACTCATACCGGTGAGAAGCCGTACAGTTGTTCAATATGCAAAAAGAATTTCACTCAGTTCGGGGATATGAAAAAACATGTGATGACTCATACCGGTGAGAAGCCGTACAGTTGTTCAATATGCAAGAAGAATTTCACTCAATTCGGGGATATGAAAAAACATATGATGACTCATACCGGTGAAAAGCCGTACAGTTGTCCGACATGCAAAAAGAACTTCACTGAGTCCGGCAATATGAAAAGGCATGTGATGAGTCATACGGGTGAAAAACCATACAGTTGCCCGATAGAAGTTCGCACCGAATCAGTAATTTTTTTTAACCTCTGATTTGCAACTTTGGGAAATTTTTATTTTTTATATCACTTTTCCTGTTAAGATCAAGCAAAATCTCCTTAAAATAGCGTCCAACATAAATTATATAATTGATAAACTTTAATAACATGACAGCATCACATAATCCAATTCAAATATAATCAAGTATCATCTCATAGATCTTGTACAAGCGAAGCGTCTCGCTTGCTTTATTTCACTATAAAAAAATATAGGAAATTAAGGAACCATAGATGAAACAAATTCAAAGATGAAATAAAATTGCAAAAAATGTCACAATTGCTTTGCATAAATTATTTTCAGCAGTATAATATAGCAGCTGAAATGAAATTATTCAGTGTAAAGGATCAAACACTGATTGCTATTATTATATCATTAAATGTAATAATTTATATTCTATTACTATTAGCCCCATATTGTTTGTTGCACGCGGAACAAAGTTATCAATATACATAGTTGCCACCTCCATCTGAATGAGCATTTATACATGCGATTATTTAACAATATCTAACAGAAGTAACAGAAGGCCTCTGTCAAACTCTCTTCCACAAATTTCTTTCATTTATTTTGTTCTCTTTTTAGAGTTTTGACTTATGAGAAAGATTTGGAACTCGATAATAATTTAGAAAAGCATTTATTTGGGCAAATTTTTCCTTCGGCATTTGTCAATGAGCAATTGCCTAGTAAATTTGAATGTTTTCAGAATTGGCAACAAATTATTCTCGTTGGCAGTTGGCATGCATTTCATCTATTTCTTCTTCTTCTTTTTGCAACTGAACAATATTCAAACAACCGTAAGCCCATTTAAAGTTTAAAAAATAGAACATAGCGTTGCGATACCATGGAGATTTAAATTTTTACCCGGTATGAGATTGATAATTGCATATCATTTGAGGTAGCGCAAACGGATCAAACAGAACCATTGGATTTATCAATATCAAAAGTGAAAGAGAAAGGCAATGCATTACAAGGCTTATCAATGGAAAGAAAGTGTGAAGAAGAAATTGGACTGCAATTGCTTCAAACAAAAACATTGTATTCAACCGCTTCAAAAGTCAGTGATGAACGAATTCCAATCGAAACAGTCATGAAAGTAATGGAAATGTCAAAGCAGGAAAGTAGAACGAAAAAGAAGCAACGCCACGATGTACACCAAAAGCAAGAACATACGATGACTCATACCGATGAGAAGCCGTACAGTTGTCCGACATGCAAAAAGAACTTCACTGAGTCCGGCAATATGAAAAGGCATGTGATGAGTCATACGGGTGAAAAACCATACAGTTGTCCGATATGCGGGAAAAGTTCCACTCATCCCGGTAATATGAAAAAACATATGATGACTCATACCGGTGAGAAGCCGTGCAGTTGTCCGATTTGCAAGAAGAATTTCACTGATTCCAGTAATATGAAAAGACATATGATGACTCATACCGGTGAGAAGCCGTACAGTTGTTCAATATGCAAAAAGAATTTCACTCAGTTCGGGGATATGAAAAAACATATGATGACTCATACCGGTGAGAAGCCGTACAGTTGTTCAATATGCAAGAAGAATTTCACTCAATTCGGGGATATGAAAAAACATATGATGACTCATACCGGTGAAAAGCCGTACAGTTTTCCAGTATGCAAAAAGAGCTTCATTGAGTCCGGCAATAGAAAAAGGCATATGATGACACATGCCGGTAGAAAACCGTACAGTTGTTCAGTATGCAAAAAGAATTTCACTCAGTTCAGTAATATGAAAAAACATATGATGACTCATACCGGTGAGAAGCCGTACAGTTGTTCAATATGCAAAAAGAATTTCACTCAATTCGGGGATATGAAAAAGCATATGATGACTCATACCGGTGAAAAGCCGTACAGTTGTCCAGTATGCAAAAAGAGCTTCATTGAGTCCGGCAATAGAAAAAGGCATATGATGACACATGCCGGTAGAAAACCGTACAGTTGTTCAGTATGCAAAAAGAATTTCACTCAGTTCGGGGATGTGAAAAAACATATGATGACTCATACCGGTGAGAAACCATACAATTGTCCGATATGCAAAAGGAATTTCACTAACTCCGCTAATATTAAGCAACACATGCTGACTCATGCCGGTCAAAAGCCGTACAGTTGTCCAACATGCAAAAAAAATTTTACTCAGTTCAGTAATATGAAAAAACATGTGATGATTCATACCGGTGAGAAGCCGTACAGTTGTTCAATATGCAAAAAGAATTTTACTCAATTGGGAAATATGAAAATACATATGATGATTCATACCGGTGAGAAGCCGTACAGTTGTTCAATATGCAAGAAAAGTTTCACTCAGTTCGGGGATATGAAAAAACATATGCTGATTCATACCGGTGAAAAGCCGTACAATTGTCCAATATGCAGAAAAAGTTTCACACAAAAATACAATTTGCAGTCTCACATGCTAACTCATGATATAAACAGACCAGTCTACCACTGTACTGTATGCAGTAAAGATTTTCAGACTAAATGCGGATTGAAATTACACATGCGGGATCATTAAAGGTTGCGCTTTACTCTTTATTTTATTTTATAAAAAATACGCATTGCTATTTCTGCTGCTATTGATTATTTATATTTTTCATCAGTCAATTTTTCTATCACTTCTTTATTTGTTAGATAACTCTTTATCTCTCGCTGTTATTGTTGTTATAGTTCCGCGTCTTGGTCATATATGTATATTTGTTTTTGTTAGAATAAATAAGTTCCCTAACCGTTCCTACGTGGTACCTTGTATGCTATGCATGAAGAACTTGGAAATTAATATTGCTGTTGTTAAATTATTAATGAAATTAAATTGCTTACTCGATTATTGCATAAACAACATGGATACCATAAAGTTAACTACGCAATTTGCAATGAAAACTTCATCCATTCATTTCATTTGTCGATTCGCATTCAGAATTCTGTTTCAGTTACTCTATTTGCGTTCAAAATTCCATTCACTAAAAATATTTGATAATCTAACCCAGTAGTGAATCCATCAGTGAATAACAGCATTAGCTAGTAAAGTTTTTTGAATTAAACCCGACTTGAAACCACATATGCGGAATCGTTAAAGCGTGCAGGTTAAATAGAAATAAGCTCTGATATTTCTATTGTGAAATGACCGAATAATTGGTTGGCAACTAATAAATGCTTCGAATGGATGAAACACTTGAAGAGTTATATAAGGAAACATTGTGCCATAAAGATCAAATATGTCTGTGCAACTATTTCTGCTGGAGCAAAATATTCATAATGTTAATAATTCTCACATTGCATAATCCTACTAATACAAATCGTAAAAACTTTTCTTTATTAAATAATATTGGATTTCATTGAATATAACCACAAAATCCTGACTTGACATAAGTGATCTTTTGAGTTAAATTTACTTCAATTTCCATAATTGACCTTTTTTCTTTCATTCTGCATTTATGACTATCATCATTTATTGCGTGACGAAAATTTTTGTGACATAAAAAAGGAATGTAATTAAAGGAGTGATTAGCTCTATAGCGCAACAGACTTGTTTTGATGAGTAAATAAGGTTTGTGTAGGTTGAATAAAACTTGTGAAATTACTGCTAATATTTATTTCAAATTTGAGCACGAAAAAATAACTTATCGAAACATTTCAGTGAAGAAGATGAAATATCACTATTCATTTTTTCATTATCCTTTAAGTATATAATTAAAAATCTTGTTGTCATTGAGGTTGCAACGGATTAAAGATTTCTATCTTTTTAGATTGAAGTAAACTTGAACACTCTTTCGTCGATTGAATTAAAAAGAAATCTTTTTCAGAGAAAGTGCATTAAATTATATATTTTGGAAATTTTTGTATTTAAATTAACAATTTAATTAGCTTCGAATAAATGAACGAAAATTTTGAAGTAATTATTTTTTATTCTTTTCATTTCATTACCTTTAAATTTCAATGCCTTTAAACATCTTTGCATATCACATTTGACATTGAAAAAAGCAGAAAATTGCCAATTTCATTTTATAATTTATTTCTACTGGAAATATAGAAATTGTAATATCATGTTAATCATTAGAGATCATAGCTTTTTGGATATTACCAGAAGCGATAACTTTGTGCGCTTTAGTAAATTTTATGTACCTAATTATTTAAATCAAATAAAAAATAAAAAAGAAAATGGTGAATAACCTTCTTTTTTATTTATATATAAATTCATAAATAAGAATGAAATAATTGTTGTGGAAGCAAAATTTTACGGAAGATTTGATAATTTAATTTATTATTGGAAAATTTTTCTAAGAAAGAATTTAAAATATGGTTTTAAAATGAAAACACTTCTTAATAACAAATGTCAATTGGAGTCAGTAATCAAATTCATTTTATTAGTTGCTAAGAAATGTAGTGCTACTGAGTTATCAGATTATATATTTTGTTAAAGGTTAAACATTTCGCTAAGTTTTTCCAAATTTAGCAACTCTTTACATCGTTTTTCTATCAGATTAAAAGAAATGTGACTAATTCTTTAGAACTTAAAAAATAAAGAAATCATGAATGCCTACACTTTTGAAACCGGTTGGATCTGATTGGGATATGTGCGAAGGTTGTTTCGCTTACATGCCTTTTTTAGGTAAGTTTTCCTTAATATCTTCAATTTCGTCGATTCCTAAGTGAAAATTTCATTTATATTTTCATCGTTTTTTTTTTTTTTTAATAGATTTTATTATATTAATTGTTTTCTTACTAGGCATTAAATAATGGATGAATTAATTCATTTTTAAAAAGTCTGTTAAATCGCCTGTGACTGTAACGATTTACTAGCCAGCCGGTAGTCGATATTTGATAGAAAATATATGAATTACAGTTGATCGAATTAAATATCATTTTTAGTCATTAACTTATTCAATCATTGATAACGAATAGTTCGACACTCGAATAAGTAAGAAAAAAAGGAAGTTGACTGTAATGTTGCAAATTATTATGCATAAAATCACTAGTATAAAATATATTTAAAGATCAAATCCAGAAATAACTAAATTAATTTCGTGCTACACTGCATGCCAATATCAGAAAGAGGATGAAAAACGAATTGTTAAAAGCATTGTTTTGTACTTAGTTCAGGATGTGATGTTTGGATAATTATTTATACTTAACATGTCGATTGGAATAATGTTAAATCACGGTTTGAATTTGCCAAAGTGATGCTTGAAATAAACGACTGCTCACATTTGACTTATTCTTTTTTGTAAGTTATTTGAATTTGTTTAAATTTCAATTAAAGAAGATGACGAGGAAATATGCGAAATATGTATAAGTTATATCTTGTTACCATCCTTATTTATCAGAACAAATTGAAGCCTGTCCTCTCTGTACTTCTTATATATACCTTTAATTTTGAAAGAGTTTTACAATGAGGGATTTCAGATAATTCCAGTCCGAGCTTGTCGTGTGGAGCCTTTGGGCAACTCTAGTGGTTACATAGCCATGGATGGCAAACCGATTATTCCCATTCAGCATTTCAAGTGATGCAACCAGGCATTGTGGAACGTTATTGGACGGAACCGACGTTGCTGATTACTGATAGGACTTTACTATCGTCTTTTTTTTTTCAGTTGGTATTCATTTGATTGTTAAGTTTGTCACATTATATGTTATATACGATGACCGTAAAAAATTTTAATAAGCATAATTTAAGCCTAACACAAAGCAAATTTGAAAATTAAGTTTAAAAATGAAGTCCGAGCGAAAGACTGGATGAATTTGTAAATCAGTATTACCAATTATAGGAGATGCAACAAAATGTAGCAGTTTTCACTCACGCTAATATTCCCAAAGATGCAGCAGTCTTCCACTCACGTTAATATTCCCAAAGATTTGAAAATCTGGGAACATTGAAATGAAATGAAATAAAATTGCAAAAAATGTCACAAAAAATGCAACTGCTTTGCATAAATTATTTATAACAACCAATGCAGAAGCTGAAAAGAAATCATTGAGTATAAAGGATTAAACAATGACTGCTATTGTCATTTTACTATACACTAATATATATTCTATTATTATAACTATAAATATGTTATTATACGCGGACGTAAGTTATCAATACACGTATAGTTTGCCACTCCCATCTGAATGAGAACTTATACATGCGATTATCTAACAATACCCAACAGAATTGATCGGTTGGCTTCTGTCAGACTCTCCTACAGTTTTCATTCAGGATGTTCTGTTTCATTCATTTCGATAGCAGATGCTACCACTTTTCAAACTTTTGAGTTATGACAAGGATTTTGGAATTAGATGACAAATTTGTAAATAATCTAATATATTTAGAAAAGCATTTACTTGAAGAAATATCTCCTTTGCTCATTTGTCAAACAGCAGCGATATTATTCTTTAGAAGCAACCGTCAGTAAATTTAAATGTTTTTCAGAATTAACAACAAATTATTCTCATTGACATGCGTTTCATCTATTTATTCTTCTTCGTCTTCCAACTGAGCAATATTCAAACAACCGTAAGTACTTAAATTTAAAAATACAGCATAGCGCTACAATACCGTCGGGATTTAAAATTTTACACAGTGTGAAATTGATAATATCATATCATTTGAGGCAGCGCAAACGGATCAAACAGAACCATTGGATTTATCAATATCAAAAGAAAAAAGAGATGCATTACAAGGCTTATCAATGGAAAGAAAGGATGAAGAGGAAATTGAACTGCAATTGCTTCAAACAAAACCATTGGATTTAACCGCTTCAAAAGTCAGTGATGAACGAATTCCAATCGAAACAGTCATGAAAGTAATGGAACTATCAAAGGAAGAAAGAAGGGCGGGAAGGAAACAGCATTGCAATATATGTCAAAAGGAAGTAACACATATGAAAGGACATTTGATAACTCATACCGGTGAGAAGCCGTGCAGTTGTCCGATATGCAAAAAGAATTTCACTGACTCCAGTAATATGAATAAACATATGATGATTCATACCGGTGAAAAGCTGTACAGTTGCCCGACATGCAAAAAGAATTTCACTGACTCCTACAATATAAATAGACATATGATGACTCATACCCGTGAGAAGCCGTACAGTTGTTCATTATGTAAGAAGAATTTTACTCAGTTCAGTTATATGAAAAAGCATATGATGTTTCATGCCAATGAGAAGCCGTACAGTTGTTCAATATGCAAAAAGAATTTCACTCAGTTCGTGGATATGAAAAGACATATGATGATTCATACCGGTGAAAAGCCGTACAGTTGTCCGATATGCAGGAAAAGTTTCACTGAACCCGGTAATATGAAAAAACATATGATGATTCATACCGGTGAAAAGCCGTACAGTTGTCCAACATGCAGGAAAAGTTTCACTCAGTTCGGGGATATGAAAAAACATATGATGATTCATACCGGTGAAAAGCCGTACAGTTGTCCAACATGCAGGAAAAGTTTTACACAAAAACACCATCTACAGTTTCACATGGTAACTCATGACATGAATAGACCTGTTTACCACTGTACTGTATGCAGTAAAGATTTTCAGACAAAAAACGGCTTGAAATTTCACATGCAGAATCATTAAACCTTATATATATATTTTTAACCTAATTGATTATTTTATTTGCACATGAACTGCCCACATTCTGTGGTGGACATTTGACAATTTATGCAGAAAAAAAATTTTTTTTAAATTTCACTTTGGAGCAATATTTTAATGCATAAATTAACGAGGTTAAAATTAGTGATGATTTCAATTAATTTTTGACATTGAAATTAATTTTAATTACAAATTTGAATATGGATCCATATATCGAATTTGTATAATCTTTTTTAAATATGGAAAATAGGTAGTAATTGTAACATAGCTAAAAGATATGGGAGAAAAAGGTGTGGAAGTGTTTGACACATTACGAGAGAAAGTGTTTGCCGAGCTTGTAGAGGAAGGAGCTAATACCAAATTTGCCTCTCTCAAACGGTAATATAAAGATATGCACACATAGTAGTAATTATTACATACTCCGCATACTTCGAGTTTTTCTCAATTCGTTTTTGACTTCAAAATTAATTTTAATTATAAATTTATATATGGAACTTTATGAAAATTTGGCAATTTCAAATAGTTTTAGCAGATTAAATAAGGAAATAAATTTTAATTTTGCTAAATTATGCTTTAATTAAATGCCAGCAATATTAGAAAACTGTAACACACTTTAAAAAATATATGTTTTGAACTTATTTTAGTTGCATTGTACATGATCTGCTCAAATTCGGTCATGGCTTTCATCTGGTATTTAGTAGATTATAAGGGTTATTATAATTATTGTATTTTTTTATCAAAGCCTAGTCTTCAAATCACTTTTCATTTATAATCTCTTTGTATTTCCATTTAATTCAAGATTGACAACTAACTTTCTGTAGTTTTTGCAATTTACATTATATAATACTACCATAAAAGAAATAAAGCTTTTGATAAAATGAAAAAATTTGTAATAACATTAGTTAATACCTTTTTTGTATTCTTTGTTGAATCATTTACAATATTATCATTTCATAAACAATAAACAATCAGTTGTTTATTTTCGCCATGAATTACAACATCTGGTTTCCTTTGAGGTATCTTCACATATTAGATTAATAGATGACAGATTAATATGATCAAAAAAAAAAATATGATCAAATAGTCATCATTAATTTTCTTCCTCTAAACATTATTCATTATCACATTATCACTGTCATCATCACTATAGATATGTGTTAGAAATATCAATTGGTACTCATTTGACAGCTACCTTCATCACATCATATGTAGCAAAAAAATTTAATAAGCTTAATTTACACATGTACATAGCAAATTTGACAAAACAAATTTGAAAATGAAGTCCAAACCAAAGATTAGAAAGATTTGCTGAAATCATTGAAAATGTAAAAAAATTGAAGCAGAATGGAATAAAATTGTGCAAAAAATATCACAACTGCTTTGCATAAATTATTTGCAACAATGCGATATAGCAACTGAAATGGAATTATTTAGTGTATAGGATTAAATAGTGACTGCCATTATCATATCACTGTACGTATTTTTTATATCCTATTGTTATTACTATACCTGTGTTATTATACGTGGACATAGGTTATCAATCTACGTACTTTGCCACTCCCATCTGAATAAGCATTTATACATACAATTCTCCAACAATACCTAAACAGAAGTAATCAGGTAGCCCTGTCAAACTCTCCTACAAATTTCATTCAGTAAGTTCTGTTTCACTTATTTCGATAGTTACCACTTTTCAAACTTTTGAATTATGATAGGGATTTTGGATTCGATGATAAATTTTTAATTAATCTAATATATTTAGAAAAGCATTTACTTGAAGAAATTTCTCCTTTTCGCATTTTTCAGAATTGGCAAGAAGTTATTCATTGACATGCATTTCATCTATTTTTTTTTCTTCTTAAAACTGAGCAATATTCAAACCATCGTAAGTCCATTTAAAGTTTAAAAATACAATGTAGCGCTGCGATTTAAAATTTTACACGGTATCAGATTGATAATTTCATATCATTTGAGGTAGCGCAAACGGATCAAACAGAACCGTTGGATTTATCAATATCAAAAGTGAAAGTGAAGGGGGATGGATTACAAGGCTTATCAATGGAAAGAAAGGGTGAAGAAGAGATTGGATTACAAGTGCTTCAAACAAAGCCCTTGGATTTAACCGCTTCAAAAGTCAGTGATGAACGAATACCAATCGAAACAGTCATGAAAGTAATGAAAATATCAAAGCAGGAAAGTAGAACGAAAAAGAAGCAACGCCACGATGTACACCAAAAGCAAGAACATACGATGACTCATACCGATGAGAAGCCGTACAGTTGTCCGACATGCAAAAAGAACTTTACTCAGTTCAGTAATATGAATAAACATATGATGTTTCATGCCAATGAGAAGCCGTACAGTTGTTCAATATGCAAAAAGAATTTCACTCAGTTCGGGGATATGAAAAGACATATGATGATTCATACCGGTGAAAAGCCGTACAGTTGTCCGATATGCAGGAAAAGTTTCACTGAACCCGGTAATATGAAAAAACATATAATGATTCATACCGGTGAAAAGCCGTACAGTTGTCCGATATGCGGAAAAAGTTACACTCGAAGATACACTTTGCAGTCTCACATGGTAACTCATGACATGGATAGACCTGTTTACCACTGTACTGTATGCAGTAAAGATTTTCAGACTAAAACCAGTTTGAAATTTCACATGCGGAATCATTAAACCCTGCGCACTTTAAAGAAAAGAAATGCGCTTTGCTATTTCTGTTGCTGTTGATTATTTATATTTTGTATTGATCAAATTCTACTTATATATTCCTTTTTTTGTTGACAAGTTGCAGTTAGTTTTTTTAATCATTTTGTATATTATGGTCATTTCCTTCACTGTTTTGATTCCTGTAACGCATTTCTCAACATTAGCTTCATCCATTGATTTCATTTGTATATGACCATATGTGCTATGCACGAGATATTTGCAAATAAGTATCGATATTGTTAAATTACTAATAAAATGAAGTTGCTCATATGTATTCCTCCCTCGATTATAGCATAAATAAAATGGAAATAAATTTTTGGAAAGAAAAGAATCATCTTAATCACAACATATCACTTTATAAAGTTATATGATTATGCGATTTGCAGTAAATACATCAGATTCATATCATTTACATTCTTGGCTGCATCTCACTTATATATTATTTGCTTTTATTTATTCGTTGTTTGTTGCATAGTGTAAAAATTTAGTATTTTTATGTAAGATCTGCTATCAGGAAGTTCTTTTATGATTTCCAATATGCTGCAAATATATGAAATTGAGAAACAATGAATAATTTGCTTATTATTCGGCAGCGATAATGCCATGAAAGATGTCATCGCTTAAAAATGTTTGATTTTTGAAAATGATTTTACTGGTTTATTCATTCCATTACATTTCCGTTTATTCCTTTTTCCTCATATTTAGCTTCGACCACTACCAAGTCGATCGTTCAAGTAGCTAACGACTGGGTTCTTTCAAAAATGAAATACTATGACGACAGGAGTAGAAAACGTTTTGTATAAACCAGTAATATATTTCTATGCGATAGAAAAGTTAATCAGGTTATACGAAAATAAAATTATTTTAAGCTGCGATTTAAAATTTTACACGGTATCAGATTGATAATTTCATATCATTTGAGGTAGCGCAAACGGATCAAACAGAACCGTTGGATTTATCAGTATCAAAAGTGAAAGTGAAGGGGGATGGATTACAAGGCTTATCAATGGAAAGAAAGGGTGAAGAAGAAATTGGATTGCAAGTGTTGCAAACAAAGCTCTTGGATTTATCGGCTCCAAAAGCAAAAAAGGAAGGAAATAGGGCACAAAGTTTATCAGTGGAGGGAGTGAGTGATGAACGAATAAAACCACTGTTACGGCTCGTTCCAATCGAAACAGTAGTGAAACTATCAAGGCAAGAAGGAAGGGCGAGAACGAAGAAGCGTTGTGATATATGTCGAAAGGAAGTATCAAACATGAAAGAACATATGATGACTCATACAGGTGAGAAGCCGTACAGCTGTTCAATATGCAGAAAGAATTTCGCTCAGTTGTGGAATTTAAAAAGACATATGATGACTCATACCGGTGAGAAGCCGTACAGTTGTTCAATATGCAAAAAGAATTTCACTAACACCGCTAGTATGAAGCAGCACATGATAACTCATACCGGTGAGAAGCCGTACAGTTGTTCAATATGCAAGAAGAATTTCGCTCAGTCCGGGGATATGAAAAAACATATGATGACTCATACCGGCGAAAAGCCGTACAGTTGCCCGACATGCAAAAAAAAATTCACTGACTCCAGTAATATGAAAAAACATATGATGACTCATACCCGTGAGAAGCCGTACAGTTGTTCATTATGCAAAATGAATTTTACTCAGTTCAGTAATCTGAAAGAACATATGATGTTTCATGCCGATGAGAAGCCGTACAGTTGTTCAATATGCAAAAAGAATTTCACTCAGCTCGGGGATATGAAAAAACATATGATGATCCACAACGGTGAAAAGCTGCACAGTTGCCCGATATGCAGGAAAAGTTTCACACATAAACACCATTTGCAGTCTCACATGGGAACTCATGACGTGAATAGACCAGTCTATCACTGTACTGTATGCAGTAAAGATTTTCAGACTAAAGCCGGCTTGAAATTTCACATGCGGAATCATTAAACCTTGCGCACTTTAAAGAAGAGAAATTCGCTTTGCTATTTCTATTTTTGTTGATTATTTATCTTTTCTGTTGATCAAATTGTAGTTATATATTCGTTTTTTGTTGAGAAGATATTGTTGATATCTTTTATCTTATATGCATATTAAGATCATTTCCTTCACTGTTTTGTTTCCTGTAACGCATTTGTCAACATTAGCTTCATCCAATGATTTCATTTGTTTCAATTTTTCCACATTTTCAAATATTTGGGATTATTAGCAAGAATGGAAAATTACACCGCTGCATCTCTTATAATTGATAAGATTGATTTATAAATGCTAAATAATTTCAGCTTCAAATTTGCTTTGTGCTGTATGTAAATTAGGTTATTAAATTCTTTTTACGGTTATCATATTTAACACCATGTGATGTAGATAGCTGTCAAATGAATTCTAATTGATGATTTCCAGTACTTATAAACTTTTCAAATGCCAACCGTAATGAAACTATGAAGGAAAAAGGACGATGGCAAAGGTCCTATCATTTACTGATAGTAATCAGCAACGTTAGTTCCGTCCAATAACGTTGCACAATGTGGTTGGCATCATTTGAAATGCTGAACGGGATGTTATCGATTTGATATCTATGCTATGTAGCCAACAGAATTGCCTAATGGCTTTACACGAAAAAGTCGGACTGGAATTATCTGCAATTCCTCATTGTAGAATTTAAGAGAGACAGGCTTCAATTTGTTCTTATAAACAAGGATGGTGGCAAGATATATTTTATAAATTTTTATCATACGTCCTTTTCATTTCTTTAATTGAAATTTAACAAATTCAAATAACCTGCAAAAGAGAATAAGTCAAATGTAGGCAGTCGTTGATTCCAAGCATCATTTTGACAAATTCAAACCGTGATTTAACATTTTTTCTAGTCGACATATATTAAATATAGGAAGTCATCGTCCAAACGAGCACATAGAAAGTGAGGCACATCAATTCCTGAACTAAGTATAAAACAGTGCTTTTAACGATTCTTCTTTCATCCTCTTTCCGACATGGAATATCGACATATAGTGTAAACGATATATAATTCAATCAACTGAAATTTATCTGCATTATTTTGGCTAATAAATTGTTACAGTCAGTGAACAAACGATTTAGCAGACTTTTTAAAATGGTTTAATCTATCATGATTTAATGCTTAGTAAAAAAAATCTATTCCATGAAAAAATTATAAAAATACAAATGAACTTTCCATTTGGAAAACTTTTGATTTCGGAATTTGAAAATTGAAAATATTAAGGAAAAACTTACCCAAATGAGAAAGGTTTGTAAACGAAACAACTTTCGCACACATCCCAGTCAGATCCAACCGGTTTCAAAAGTGTAGGCATCCATGATTTCTTTATTTTTTAAGTTCTAAAGAATTAGTCACATTTATTTTAATCTGTTTAAAAGAAATTTTTTTTTTTTACATTTATAGTAAGCAAGCTGTTGCGTTTCCTTTTTGATCCATTTAGAGATCCGAGATAATTTTAAGGTAATAGAATAATTTTTGAAGCCTGATTTGAATAGTTCTTACCTTTCAACAAACTCTTTAACTTTGAATGATATTTGTCTCTGTGTAAATTATTTGCCACTTTGCATTTAACTGATTCCATCACTGCGTTTTAAGTAAAAAAAGAGGACAAGGAATTATTTCCATCGTACGACTTTTCTAGTTGCAACTAAGTCCACAATTTCATAAATTTACAGCATGTTGGAGATCATAAGGACCTTCCTGACAACAGATTTTGCATAAAAATACTTCTAATCAACCCTATACTATGCAGCAAACAATGAATAAATAAAAGCAAATAATGTATAAGTGAGATGCAGCCAAGAATGTAAATGATATGAATCTGATTTACTGCAAATCGCATAATCATATAACTTTATGAAGTGATATGTTGTGATTAAGATGATTCTTTTCTTTCCCAAAAATTTATTTCTATTTTATTCATACAATAATCGAGGGAGGAAAACATATGAGCAATTTCATTTTATTAGTAATGTAACAACATCGATACTTATTTGCAAATATCTCGTGCATAGCACACATGGCTACTTGCAAATGAAATCATTGGATGAAGCTAATGTTGAGAAATGCGTTACAGGAAACAAAACAGTGAAGGAAATGACCTTAATATGCATATAAGATAAAAGATACCGACAGCAACTTGTCAACAAAAAAAAGGAATATGTAACTAGAATTTGATCAATCCAAAATATAAATAATCAACGACAACAGAAATAGCAAAGCATTTCTTTTTTTAAAGGTGTGCAAGGTTTAATGATTCTGCATGTGAAATTTCAAGCCGTTTTTTGTCTGAAAATCTTTACTGCATACAGTACAGTGGTAAACAGGTCTATTCATGTCATGAGTTACCATGTGAAACTGTAGATGGTGTTTTTGTGTAAAACTTTTCCTGCATGTTGGACAACTGTACGGCTTTTCACCGGTATGAATCATCATATGTTTTTTCATATCCCCGAACTGAGTGAAACTTTTCCTGCATATCGGACAACTGTACGGCTTTTCACCGGTATGAATCATCATATGTCTTTTCATATCCCCGAACTGAGTGAAATTCTTTTTGCATATTGAACAACTGTACGGCTTCTCATTGGCATGAAACATCATATGTTTATTCATATAACTGGGGTTAGTGAAATTTTTTTTGCACATTGGACAACTGCACGGTTTCTCACCGGTATGAGTCATCATATGCCTTTTCATATTACCGGGATGAGTGGAACTTTTCCCGCATATCGGACAACTGTATGGTTTTTCACCCGTATGACTCATCACATGCCTTTTCATATTGCCGGACTCAGTGAAGTTCTTTTTGCATGTCGGACAACTGTACGGCTTCTCATCGGTATGAGTCATCGTATGTTCTTGCTTTTGGTGTACATCGTGGCGTTGCTTCTTTTTCGTTCTACTTTCCTGCTTTGATATTTTCATTACTTTCATGACTGTTTCGATTGGTATTCGTTCATCACTGACTTTTGAAGCGGTTAAATCCAAGGGCTTTGTTTGAAGCACTTGTAATCCAATCTCTTCTTCACCCTTTCTTTCCATTGATAAGCCTTGTAATCCATCCCCCTTCACTTTCACTTTTGATATTGATAAATCCAACGGTTCTGTTTGATCCGTTTGCGCTACCTCAAATGATATGAAATTATCAATCTGATACCGTGTAAAATTTTAAATCGCAGCGCTACATTGTATTTTTAAACTTTAAATGGACTTACGATGGTTTGAATATTGCTCAGTTTTAAGAAGAAAAAAAAATAGATGAAATGCATGTCAATGAATAACTTCTTTCCAATTCTGAAAAATGCGAAAAGGAGAAATTTCTTCAAGTAAATGCTTTTCTAAATATATTAGATTAATTAAAAATTTATCATCGAATCCAAAATCCCTATCATAATTCAAAAGTTTGAAAAGTGGTAACTATCGAAATAAGTGAAACAGAACTTACTGAATGAAATTTGTAGGAGAGTTTGACAGGGCTACCTGATTACTTCTGTTTAGGTATTGTTGGAGAATTGTATGTATAAATGCTTATTCAGATGGGAGTGGCAAAGTACGTAGATTGATAACCTATGTCCACGTATAATAACACAGGTATAGTAATAACAATAGGATATAAAAAATACGTACAGTGATATGATAATGGCAGTCACTATTTAATCCTATACACTAAATAATTCCATTTCAGTTGCTATATCGCATTGTTGCAAATAATTTATGCAAAGCAGTTGTGATATTTTTTGCACAATTTTATTCCATTCTGCTTCAATTTTTTTACATTTTCAATGATTTCAGCAAATCTTTCTAATCTTTGGTTTGGACTTCATTTTCAAATTTGTTTTGTCAAATTTGCTATGTACATGTGTAAATTAAGCTTATTAAATTTTTTTGCTACATATGATGTGATGAAGGTAGCTGTCAAATGAGTACCAATTGATATTTCTAACACATATCTATAGTGATGATGACAGTGATAATGTCGCGGATTTTAATATCGCGATCTAAAAATATGAGTTGCAAATTGTAGTAAAGATATCTACGTAATTTCCGCAAACAATGCTTATACTTCGGACTCTTTGTTTCCAAATTTATGCTTCTACATATTGAAACAATTTACATCGTTCTTTGTTAGCAATCCTTACAATCATGAGGATATCTACATTGTTCTTTGTTAGCTATCATAATCATGCGGTTATCTAATAAGCTCTTTATTAGCAACTGGTGCCCATGCAAGCACCTCCTCTCCTTTGTTTGGATCATTGTCTAACATCAATGTAGATTTTATAACCATACTATTGTCAATTAGATCAGTTTTAAAATCATCCAATCCTCCGAATCAGTTTATTCAATTGTTGCCCAAATATTTAGCTGGCATCCAACACATCTCCCTGACATCAAACTTCTCCCCCGAATAACAATTTAACCAAATCATAAAGGTTGTTTCCAAAAACATTTTTGCTTCCACTACAATTTTGGTGCCACGAGCCGGGACATGTCCGACAGTATAAGAAAAGGAAGCGAATTATCGAAGTCGAGAACTCTAGAACTTCTTAAAGAAGCAAGTGAACTCGATCTGACCTCCCCGTCTCAAACACTATCACGAGGGGAACTTCAGCATCAATACGAAATTAAATTGCGAATCGTCAAGGAGAAGATCGCACATCTCGAATATTATGCTGGGTTACTCGAAACAGCTAATCAAAATTGGCTGGATAATATTCAGAGCTTGACAATAGCAACGAGGAGAAAGGAAGAGGAGACGAAATACGCCAATATGGTTGACGATCCACAAGGTATTTTAAGTTTAATCACTAGAACAAGAGAAACTATTATTACCCTTAAAATACATACTGATGAATATTGCTCGGTACTACAACATTTAAAACAAGAAGAGGTCAAAGAATCATTTCCAAAGAATAGTATGATTCACACAAATCAAGCAGAAATAAAACTTCCTCAATTACCACTAATAACGTTTAGTGGGGATCCAAAATTGTGGAGGCAATTTTGGTGTAGTTTCAAGGCAGCAGTCCATGAGCAAAGCATCCCAGATATTCAAAAGTTAAACTATCTGATATCATGTCTTAAAGGAGATGCTTTGTTATCTGTAAGAGGTTATGATATAGCGCCAGAAAACTACGATGTTATAATAGGTTTACTAAAAGAGAAATATGGTAAACCTTTCCTTATAAAGAAATCACTCTACAACGAGTTGAATACCATCAAAAAAAATGACCGAGAGTGGAAAGCAACCATAGAAGCCATGGAGAGAACATTTCGACAACTGGAAGCTATAGGTGAAAATTTAGAGCATTCAAGCATCGAAATTACAATTGAAAATAAACTACCAGCGTGGATAATTGATAAATTATACCAATTGAAAGAGGATTCGACGAGTTGGTCAGTTAAGGATATCCGGCAGTACCTGACAAAACTAGTTCTAAGAAATGAAGAAGTTGCTAGAAGTCAAGCAGACACAAGGGAGAAGAAAACAAACAAAAATAATGTTAGAGGCGAAACGTCAGCTTTCGCCACAATCAACCAAACAAAGGGAGATAATACAATCAAATCAAAAAAGGTTCCAGGAAAAATTTCTATAAATGGGGAAAGGAAACCATGCGTATTTTGCAATAAGGACCACTGGAACAATGAATGTAACATCTATCCCACTCTCAAACTCCGGATGGAACGTTTGAGAGAAATCACTGCATGTTTCAAATGTTTACGAAAAGGACATGCAACAAGTGATTGTAAAAAAGGGAAACCTTTGTGTTTCCATTGTAAAAGTCCACACAATACAGCACTGTGTCCCAACAACTACAAGGAACTCACGCAAGCAGTGGATTCCAACAAAGAAAGGTTGGGTTCAGTCACAATCGCTAACTCCATTACCGAAAAAGGAAATCAATGGAAAAAGCGAACCTTACTGTTATGTAAGGAAATAAATGTAACCAATCCAAATCGCCCAAAAATCCAACAAAAGGCTTTAATTCTATTCGATATTGGTTCTCAATTATCGTTCATATCAAAGGATTTGGCTTATCGATTGAATCTACAAGAAACTAACGAGATGGAAATAAAAATTGCTTCATTTGGTGATAAGACGCCAAAAACGTGTATCACTACTAAAACTGAAATCGGAGTAAAAATTGGAAATAAAGAAATAATCCGATTAGATGTAATAACAGTTAACCACTTGACGAATGAATTGCAAGTAGTTAATCTAAACAAAAAGGAATTGTTGATGATAGACAAACGAAATCAGTTTAGTAATTTCAAAAACAAATGGAAACAACCGGACATACTCATAGGTGCGGATCACTTCTTCAAGTTTATCCAGTTTGACCAAGCAGAGAACTTAAAATCAGGATTTTCATTGATCCATACAAAGGTTGGACCTATAATAGCTGGAAGTGGGTATATAAATGAAATACACGACAGTATTTCAGAAACCACATCAGTAAGTCCGATTTCTCAAGTCAATGCCGTCAATATTCCAGACTTAGATCACTTTTGGAAACTGGAAATAATGGGTATACAAGACAAAATAAACTCTGACAATGATGAAAAAGCATTGCAGCAATTTAAACAAACTATCACTAGGGACAAGGGAAGATATCAAGTTTGTTGGCCTTGGAAAGATTCAAAGAACAAACTAAGCGATAATTTCGGACTTTGCCTTGGAAGATTAAAGTCGTTAATTAGGAGGCTTCAAATGAAACCTCAATTACTAAGTCGATACAATCAAACTATTGAAGAACAACTCAATTCCAATATAATTGAGAAAGTGTCATCGGAAATGAATGAAGTTGGTATTATTCATTATCTGCCTCATCACGAAGTAATAACACCAAATAAAACCACGACAAATCTGAGGATAGTTTATGATGCATCAGCTCATTGTAAAGGAATGAAAAGTTTAAATGATGTTTTATATCGGGGACCAATAACACTCCCTGATTTGGTTGGAGTTTTGCTACGTTTCCGTACAATGAAAAATGTAATAATAGCAGACGTAGAAAAGGCGTTCTTGCAAATAGAATTGCATCCAACAGATAGAAACTGCACTCGATTTCTTTGGTTGAAAGACATTCGAAGTCCAGTTAACGAAGAAAACGTAAGTTGTTACCGTTTCCAACGAGTTCCATTTGGAATTGTATCATCTCCATTTTTATTGTCCGCTACACTCAATTATCATTTGGAAACTTGTAAAAGCAAAATCGCACTCGAGTTAAGGAAAAATCTCTATGTCGATAACATTATAATACCAACCAAAGGAACCAACGAAGCTCTTTCCAATTATAAGGAAATTAAAATTATATTCAATGAAGCATCAATGAATGTACGGGAATTTCTCTCTAACGACCAAGAAGTCAATGAAAAACTTCCGGTACAAGATCGAGCAGAGGTAAGTTCAATTAAAAAAATTCTAGGTCTCAATTGGTACCACAAACAAGATATCATTCAAGTAACGTTAAAACCATGGTTTGGTAAGAAATTAACTAAAAGAATTGTATTGCAATTCGTAGCCTCACAATATGACCCACTAGGATTCATAGTTCCTATACTGATAAGATTCAAATTGTTTCTCCAAACTTTGTGGAAAAAGAACCTTTCATGGGATCAAACTATAAGTGAGGAAGATGAAACCACGTGGAAATTACTCACGAACGAATGGCCAAAGAAACTAAAGGATCTACCAAGATTCACAACAAATTGTTCCAAGCAAGTACAATTTCATGTTTTTACTGACGCATCAACTGCTGCATACTCAGCAGCTTTATACATTCGAACTCAAGAAAGAGAAGTATTCTTAGTGTTTGCTAAATCCCGAATTGCGCCAATTAAAGGAATGTCAATACCTCGATTAGAATTACTGGCAATACTCATCGGAGTGAGAATGGTACAATTCGTATTAAAACAAAAAGAGCTTGAGGACGTGATAACAATTTTATGGTCCGATTCTCAATGTGCGCTTCATTGGGTTCACAATAGTTCCCGTTTACTACCAACGTTCATACAAAATAGGGTAGAAGAAATACGAAAGGCGAAAATCCATTTTAGATATATCCCAAGTGAACAAAACCCAGCTGATATAGCTACAAAAGGAATCTCTCCGAATAAACTAAAAGGATATGATCTTTGGTGGAAAGGACCAAAGTGGTTAACAGAAAACGAATCAAAATGGCCACAGTGGAAATACAATTACAATGAGGATTACCAGGATGAAGAAATTGTGGCCCACATCACAGAACCAATTATCATAAACAAACATTTCGGAATCTTAGATGCTAGTCGTTTTAGCAAATGGTCAAGATTAATAAGAACAACTGGTTGGGTTCTGAAATTCATAAGATTAACAATGAAAAGGGAAATTCCTTGGCTAAAGATGGCAACGAAAGAAAAGAATATATTGACAACACAGGATTACGAGTTGTCAGAAATTGTGCTATTCAAACAAGCACAGTCAGAAGGAGTTACCAAAGATGAAATAATCAAATGGAATTTGTTCTATGATAACGAACTATGGAGATACAAAAGCCGCGTAGTTAACTCTGAAATGAAAGAGAGTAACTTACACCCAATATATCTCCCGAGACACAACACCATAACTGAACTCTTTATTCAGCAACGACATGAACAACTGTATCATGCTGGAATTGCTCATACACTCTCAAATCTGAGATCGACGATATGGATCCCAAAAGGTAGAACGGAAGTCAAACGAATCTTGAATAAGTGCATGAAGTGCAGACGCTGGACAACTAAACCATTCAAATTACCAACTATGGCTGATCTTCCAGCATCTCGGACCACAAGATCAAGACCCTTTGCGCGAGTAGGACTAGACTATTTAGGTCCTGTGAATATCAGGAGTGATAATGGGCTAACAAAAAGATGGGTAGCACTATTCACATGTTTCACAACAAGAGCTGTACATCTAGAAGTAGTAGAAACTCTTTCAGCCGAAAGCTTTTTACATGTTTTCAGAAGATTTACAGCAAGACGAGGCTTTCCAGAATTAATCTTAAGCGACAACGCTGGTCAATTCCAGTTAATTTTTAAAATCATTGTGAAACAACAATTAAATGAATTCCTAGCGGAAAGGAAAATGATCTGGAAAAATATAATACCAAAGGCGCCTTGGAACGGAGGAGTATATGAGCGACTTATTGGGTTAACAAAAAGGGCAATGAAAAGAGCCATCGGCAGAAAGTTATTATGGGAACGGGAATTGATTACGCTAGTAGCGGAAGTGGAAAGTATTTTGAATACTCGACCACTAACTTA